AGGAAAAGCTATATAAACTTAGGAGATTTTCGATATCTAGCAAATATTTTTGATTAGCAGTGTTTTTTTTGCGCTTGATCTCTGCTTGTTCAAACATTACAACCTCCAAGCCCTCATCCCCAGCTCTCAGTCCTACCCTATCAACTCTTATCCAGCCCCACAGCCCCCGGCTCCAGCCCATCCCCACTACGCCGAACCCTGAGCGTCCCACTGTCCGCAACGGTCTAGAGGACACTGTAAACTGCATACAACTGCTGTTTCAAAATTTCTTAAGTACGACAACCAGGAGCACGGTATAGTGACAGACCAGCGTCCTAAGGAAAAGCTATATAAACTCGTAGAGATCTTTGATATCTAGCACATAGTTTTAATTAGCAGCGTTTTCTTTGTGCTTGCTCTCTGCTTATCAAACATTACAACCTCCTATCCGTCATCCCCAGCTCGCAGTCCTATCCTCTCAACTCTTATCCAGCCCCACAGCCCCTGGCTCCAGCCCATCCCCACTACGCCGAACCCTGAGCGTCCCACTGTCCGCAACGGTCTAGAGGACACTGTAAACTGCATACAACTGCTGTTTCAAAATTTCTTAAGTACGACAACCAGGAGCACGGTATAGTGACAGACCAGCGTCCTAAGGAAAAGCTATATAAACTCGTAGAGATCTTTGATATCTAGCACATAGTTTTAATTAGCAGCGTTTTCTTTGTGCTTGCTCTCTGCTTATCAAACATTACAACCTCCTATCCGTCATCCCCAGCTCGCAGTCCTATCCTCTCAACTCTTATCCAGCCCCACAGCCCCTGGCTCCAGCCCAACCACTCTAGTCCCCACCCTGAACGTCTCACTGTCCGCAACGGTCTAGAGGACACTGTAAACTCCATACAACTGATGTTTCAAAATTTCTTAAGTACAACAACCATGAGCACGGGATGGTCACGAACTAACTGCCTAAAGAAAACTATACACATTCGCCGAGACTTTCAAGATATAGCAGACCTTCTTAATCAATATTTTTTTAACTGTTACTTATTTATACATTACAACCTGCCAGCCCTCATCCCCAACTCCAAGTCCGACTCTTTCAATTTTTACCCAGCCCACAGCCCTCGGCTCCAGCCAAGCTTCTTTACTTTCAACCCTCAGCCCATCACTGCAGAATTTGCGGAGGGACATGTGTGTTCGCTTGTCAGAACATGCGTGCGTGTGCGTCTGTGCATGTGTGTGTGTGTGTGTGTGCGTGTGGGTGGGTGGGTGGGTGTACTGTCAGTGGTGTGACTCCATGGAGCATTTCTAAACTCTTGCTTGGGCGTGCCGCAGATTTTCGTGTATCATATACAAACCATGGAATGTATACATGCACATACACATGCATTCATGCGCACTCCTATGTACATGAATACGTATCAGACACAGAGCAGCAGCCCTTTATTATCTATACAAAAGTTCTCGCATAGTAGTAGTAGTAGTAGTAGTAGTAGTAGTAGTAGTAGTAGTAGTAGCAGTAGTAGTAATATTTGGAATCGCTGGTGGCCTGTTTAATACAGGGCGTCCCTTCTTGCGTTTTCTGGCCTCCAGAATGGTGACATTATTCTCGAGACCTCTTCGGCCCTTCGAATTGTGAAGCCTGCACTTTGCTATTGTCCGACGCTTCGGAACGGCTTCGGACGGGTTTGGGCTGTTTCTGAATAGAGTTGTAACAGTTCCTGAGACTTGCTGAAGCTTCCAGAGCTCCTGTTGGCGCTCACAGGCTCTAGTGCACTTTGCTATTGTCCGACGCTTCGGAACGGCTTCGGACGGGTTTGGGCTGTTTCTGAATAGAGTTGTAACAGTTCCTGAGACCTGCGGAAGCTTCCAGAGCTCGTGTTGGCGCTCACTGACCCGGAGTATGAGCAAGGACGATTGGAAGAGCTCAGATCACGGAGGGAAGCTGTTGCTGGGTCCCCTGGAGTGGGATGTGGCAGCAGTGACCCGGAGTATGAGCAAGGACGATTGGAGGAGCTCAGATCACGGAGGGAAGCTGTTGCTGGGTCCCCTGGAGTGGGATGGGGCAGCAGTGACCCGGAGTATGAGCAAGGACGATTGGAGGAGCTCAGATCACGGAGGGAAGCTGTTGCTGGGTCCCCTGGAGTGGGATGGGGCAGCAGTGACCCGGAGTATGAGCAAGGACGATTGAAAGAGCGGCAAAGTTCAGCGACCAATCTCTGGGAGACTGAAAGCAGCAGTCGAAATATTCATGTTCGGCTTCATAATCAAGCCAATAACTTATCCATTCTCAAGCTGGGCAAAGTTCAGCGACGAATCTCTGGGACATTGGAGAGCAGCAGTCGAAATATCCGTTTCCGGCTTTATAATCGAGCCAATAACTTGTTTCCATTTTGACGCTGGGGTCGTCGTTTCTGAGACTCTCTTTTAACGGGAGAAAGAAAACATGAGAGAGAGGAGGTAGCTGCAGTATGCGTATCAGTATAATTACTTCCTGAGAGAGGAAACTGTACACACAGGAAAGCATTGAATCGGTTAGCTGTGTACGTCTCTGCAAAGCATCGCCACCAAGCTGTGCAGCCTGATTCGGTGAATGCAACTTTGGCGCGCCCGCGTGCCATTTCATGGCTCATTTCTTTCCCTTGAAGCTTCTCTGGGTGGGTGCACGTTCGACACCCAGCAAAGCACGCGAAGAGGCTTTCGAATTAATGCGCAAAGCTGTTCACTTGAGGCGCTGGGCAGACTTCTTGTCTAACGCTCAGACACGAGACTGCGAAAAGACGAGTCTTAAGACAGCTGTTCACTTGAGGCTCTTGGCCAGCGTCTCGTCTGACGCTCAAACACGAGACTGCGAAAAGACGAGTTTTATTGACACCTGAAATTCAGGCCATGGACGTGGCCGTTCAGACGGTCGGAAAGGCAAGTGGCCAAGTAGCCTCACTCGCTGCGAACAATGACAATTCCAGTTGAATTGAGGCTCGGACTGTGCCAAAAGGCACTCTGGCCAAACTCGACAAGGCCGTCGTGATCTCAACCGTCCTAGTTAGTGGCCACCAAATCCATGAACGATTCCAGTTCAAGTGAGGCTCGACCGAAAAGCAGAAAGGCTGTCGTCATCTCAGCCGTCCAGTTGCTCGCCACGCTGCGTCCTCCATTTTTCCGGTGAAGTAATTTTGTACTGAGCAGGTGCGCAGCAAGTGGCTGACGGGCGCCATACCCCCAGCGCACCACACCTTGCATTTTCCACGTAAGCAATGTTGCTTCCAAGGTCCCTGCTGCCTTCGCGAAAGGGCTTCCCGTGGGCACCTCAATTCCCTCACAGCACAGGGAGTTAGCTTGGAACTGCTTCCGCAGGTTCCTGCTCCGCTGACACCCACAGTGCCGGACCGAGGAGAGAGAAACACAGCGAGAGTGTGACAAAGACAAGAACAATCCACAGCTATGCTGGCTAAGCATCAGGTCTTTGCCCTGACCGCTGGCCGCTCGGTACCGGCTCGGTCCTTGATCGTCTCTCTACCTCCATCCTAATTTTTCGAAGATGGCAAGTTGAGGTGGAGCCTGATCATCCGCCGCCAGGATGGGTTGGCAGCTCAGCGAAAACAAGAATCAAATGCTCCATTCCAGAAAGCATTCTCGCAGGAGCCGACGGAGGATGGCGAGGTGCAGGCAGCTGCCCTTGCCTCAACTCTTAAACATTTTCTCACATCCCAAATCCTCGCAGGATGGCGATGGATTCAACAACGACGAAGAGCTGCAAGAGCGGGTGAAGGCATCTTCTTTCGTCCCTAACTTCAAACATTTTCTCAGATCCCAAATCCTCGCAGGATGGCGATGGATGGTTCAACGACGAAGAGCTGCAAGAGCCCGTGAAGGCAGCTTTCCTTCGTCCCTAACTCCTAAACATTTTCTCACATCCCAAATCCTCGCAGGATGGCGATGGATGGTTCAACGACGATGAGCCGCAAGAGCCCGTGAAGGCAGCTTTCCTTCGTCCCTAACTCCTAAACATTTTCTCACATCCCAAATCCTCGCAGGATGGCGATGGATGCTTCAACGAGAATGAGCTCCGCCAGCGAGTGGAGGCACCTTGCGCCTGCAAACTTTCCTTAAACCCCGAAAAAAACTCCGCCAGGAGGCGAGCAAGCTCGACATGGACGACCTCGAAGACCTGATGTGACGCGGTCAGCAGCAACACAAAGCACAGCACCAGCACCAGCACGAGCACCAGCACCAGCACTAGCACCAGCTTCAGCACGAGCACCAGCACCAGCACAAACAGCAACTACACAAGCAGCAGCACCAGCACCAGCACAAACAGCACCGACAGTAGCAGCGAAGTTTTACTTCACCACGAGTTCCATACGGATTACCCTCGCCGCTTAATTAGTATAAGGAAGTTACTGTAAAATTCCTTAGGCATAGGCCGGGTTTAAGCGGCAGGAAATCCGTATGGAACTCCTAACCAAGCCAACTCAGGCGCGAGGGGTGAAAAGAAGCCTAAGCTCCATGTCACACATAGGGGTTGTAGCATGGGCCTCTATGTATTAATATAAAAATAAACAAATATAAGTATTTGTATTTAGAACAAAAGGGTTTGCCAAATAGACCCTAAAGGTCCATGCCACATAAGGGTATAGGGTTTAGGGCCTACTTGGAGGTTCATAGTTAGTTATAAGTGGGTTATTAGTCCCCTTATTTGGGTTATAAGTACATGTAACCCCACTTATACTTACCCATGAACCCTAAACCCTATACCCTTGTAGAATCCCTATAGATCCCTTTGAAGGGACCGTTAAGGGAACCCTAATACGAACCGACGGGCAAACTTTAAATCCCAATGGCCGTGACCCGTTGAAGCCTTTAACCCTGCAAGGCGCTCGAAGCAAGCCTACAATAAAAGGGGTTTAGATTTCTTTGTTTAGGGTTTAGGGTTATGGTTAAGGGTTAGGGTCTAGGGTTTACGGTGAGGGTTTAGGGTTCCTAGAGCCGTAAAATCTCAAATTACCCCCTCTCAAGGCCTAGCTTGCATCACGGCGGAGGGCGGGAAAATCGCACCCGGCCTGTCACTTGCCAGAGCTTCCCAGAGACTCCAATATCCCTTAATTAAGGAATACACCTTAAATCATATAAGGGATCCTACTATAATTTAAGGTATATTCCTTAATTAAGGGATATTGGAGTCTCTGGGTTCTTCATGCGATTCCACCGTTGCTTGCATTTCGACAGCACTAGAATAACTCCCTCGGCCCTGAATCCAGCAACAATGGCCCCTAAGTCCTCGAATCATAAGCCCAAAGGTTCGCAGCCACTGTTCGAAGCCCGGGTGTTTATGGTCTTGCCGTGGCATCTCTGACCACCAACGCGATCGACCTCTCCCTACGGGCTAAAGTTGCATCGTGTGGGGGTACAGATGGTTCTCTATTGATCATCACGAAGTACCACAGACTCCAAACTCCAAATGGTCGCGGACCTGCAACCAGAGGTGTACGATATACCTCAAACCCTGCGCATGGACCCGAAACAGTAAACCAATGCAAATCCGAGGTGCACATGCAGCTGAAAAGCCTGAAAGCAAAACTGCCAGATCCTAATCGCTGAACCATGCCTTGACTGAGCTGCTAAAACTTACCTGTCTCTACCGTCTGTAGGCTTTTCTTAGAAAGCTTTCATATGAAGTGTTCTTTACGTTAGAAATACTAGGCTTTCCTAGTTCGACCTATGCTGCCCTACACCTTGCCTTCAACACATACCGCATACCGCACCGGTGAGGATTCGCGAGTAAAGGGGCTTGGCGTCCCAAGGTTCCATCAACACTTGGTTGTCTTTGCCGGGGTGGAAAAAGAAACTCCAATGTTCTAAGTCCAATGAACCCGATATAGGGGTCCAACACAAGTCATGAGAGGGTTTGGGGCTCTACCACGTCACTCATATAGAACCTGAAAAGGGTATTATACGTCTTGATTCTCGCGGCTCTTTGTTTCAGGGCTTGAAGTTCAGTTCGGCTTTTGATGTTGAGAAGGGAATCTCTGGGATTCAGACTTGTATACCCTTTAATCAAGGAATACTTATGATATTTCTCATCAGATCTCTTGTTCAGGTTTGGCCTGAACAGACAGTTGGTGGTGGCAGTAACAGCAACATTGTTTCCAAAACGCTGAGGCACAGACAGTTGGTGGTGGCAGTAACAGCAACATTGTTTGCAAAAGCGCTGATGCAAGCTGCTACATGCGCTGGGGGCTGGGGCTGCTGCAGCTGCCTCCGCAGCTGTCTCTGTTGTTGATCGGCGCAATGACAATCCCGATATCAATAACGAAGGCACAGAAACCCTTTTTACATCCCGAGCGTGCCTTTATTCCAAGCACTGCAAAACTTCCCCGAACACCTCAGCCGTAGGCGCGTCCGATCTTTGAAAGAATACCGCCGAATCCGGCAGAATATACAGCCAAACACGGTATCGGAGCCCCAATACCTAAACGTTAGACAACTAGAGTAACCTCCTACACCCTAAACTCCCAAATCCCAAAACCCAAACCTCCTGAACTCTAAACCCCGAGCGCTCAGAGTAGAAGAGCTGGCCATGGAAAGCTCTCGGGTTTCAGGAGGTTCCTGGGCGTCCCCTGTGTTTCTGGCCCTAACCCTTGAACCCCTAAGCCCTAAACCCTAAACTCCTAAGCCCTGAACCCCTAAACCCTGGTGTTCGATGACTTCAGAAACTTTCTGGCTCCGGCCCCCTCAACCCTCAACCAATTCAAGAACTTTTTGGCTTTGGCCCCCAGGGTTGCCGGGCCTTTGGGAGGCGGTGTCAGGCGTGGTCTCTGCCACAGGCCTCCGCGAGCATTCGGATTTCTGAAAAAAAGGGTTCAGGGTTTAGGGGTTTATGGCATAGCGTCCCAAATCCCTAAATAAGTCATCGTTTGGTGTCCTTTTTTGTTCTCCGAACTCCATGTAACCTGAAACCCGCAGCCAGAAGCCACCCTCATGAACCTCAAGCCAAGAATGCTAAAGGCCCGAAAACCAAAAGCCCACCCTCGATGATGGGACCCTCAAGCCTCCACGGTTTGCAATGCCGTAGTTCAAGGATGCGATGTCTGAAGCTTGGGGTTTTGGCTTCAACGAACCAACATATCTCGGCTTCACGGGGAGTATATAATGTGAAGATCTCAACACCTGAAGCTTTGAAACCAGGCACCGCAAAGCCAGAACCCAACCCTTATAGTATCCCTCATAGTAACCGTTATAGACACCTTCAAACCTTCAAAGGAACCCTATGTGCCTCTAAGCCATGGGAAAAACATGTCCAAAATTTGCCGAGGGAGCATCTTCCAGTGTGCATACACAAAATTCAAAACCTCGAGCCCGAAAAGTAGACCCAAAGACTCTGATATCCCTTAATTAAGGAATAACCATACCTTAAATCACACTAGGGACCCTAGTATAACTTAAGGTATATTCCTTAATTAAGGGGAATTGGAGTCTCCGGGATCCCGGAAGCCTGGATCGAAGGCCCCGATCTTGGCGTGCATGGACGCCGCCGGTGCAAGCAGGGCAAGCGCTGGTTCATCTCCCGCACAAGCCCTATAATACATAAACCCTTTAATATACAATAATTATGTAACATAACATATGAAAAATATGTGTAGTAGAGATATATATATATATATATATATATATGTATGTGTATATATATATATATATATATATATATATACTACACAACATAAAGTTCAGGGTCCCGAAACCCCAAAAGTTAGTGTCTCTCAGCCCTACGCCCCGGTTGATATCGCGCTTTTCTCGGATGTCCCTGGCATGAGCCGCTGAGTCGTTGAGCTTTGCAAAATGAAATATGTATTGGTCTCCTTTTGGAGCGCAAGCTTTCAACATGCTAGCAGGCAATCCCATGACAAAAACCTGTGCATCCGAAATTTTAAACACTGAAGAATGCATCGAACTGCCCACGTTTGTGGAAGGATGCACGTGGAGGGTGTTGTGGGGGGGAGGTTCTAAGAAGCCTTGCGACGAAAGAATCTGCCCCAGTCACCCAAGCAAATGGTGGCGGCGAGTAGAGAAATGGTTGAGCATGTCACGATTCCATAGGTTGGTACGGAAAACACTATGGCCGTCTCGGCCAAGCGAACGACCAAAAACATGATGCCCATCAAAACCGAGCAGGCCATGTTTAGCATCACCTCCCGGCATCTTGTAGATCGGTGCTGCTGAAAATAGCGTGGGATCCGCAGCCACAGCGCTACGAGCACGGGAATGGTTCCCAGCCACGTGCAAAACAAGTAGAGAGTGTTGCAAAAAGCTAACCACGAGTCTCGGTTGCGCCACACAGACTGGAGTCCAGCATGGACGCCAAACCAGGCAATCGGAATCGTAGCTCCCGTGAGCCAAGCGTATGGCAACAAACAGCTCATGACACCGCGCTGGAACGCTGCAGAAACATCTTGTTGCACAACAGCATCAAAAGCCGTGTCGGAGCCAAACCAGTGTTCCAGGCATCCAGCAAGAGCCTGACGGTCGCAAATCATCCTCTGTCCAGTCTTGGGGTTCACGTGGTTCACGTTGCAGCAATAGCAGCGTGTGTCATTGCGGAACGAGAAAGTCCGCAGCTGCTCCTGAACAGTACTTGGGGCCCGGAAATGGGCTCGAGCCGCAACGCTCGAGAAATACATGAACGCCATCACAGAGGCAGCGAGGACCAATGCCGACACCTCCTCTACAGCTTGAGAATCGAAGTGCTCGAGCAGAATATCCTTGGGCGCTGAGTATCCTAGCCCAAAATCCCATTAGAGCATGGTAGGATGTATGACCCCAAAAGTTTAACGTGACTAAAAGTTACCTTCTCATCCCCCATACTATACAAGTGTCTGCAACCGCCAGCAGTACGGCCATAGTCAAGAACCCAGCAATGGTGCATGGTCCCCAGCTGACAGGCCTAATGATCAGGCGGCCGTCTGGGTGACACTTCAAGTATGCGGCTAACCTGGGTCCGGTTTGTGAAACAAAGAAAACAGGACCCCTTCAGAGGGCTCTCATGCAAAGAACTAGGGTTAGGAAGCCTAATCTTAGACAAAGTAGGAAAGGATCTGCAAGATTGACCGAGCAGCTCTACGGTACACCACATGCGGTGCAAATAGCTTGGATCCCAACACACCAGCATGCTCTGCGAATACTTCAATAGTGCTGCAAGGTTGAGCATGCCTTCGGCTTTCAGTCTCTCGTCTTTCTGGTGGATGCATATTCTATCCAGAAAAACTCGTCTGCGGGATGGCCACGTCAGAAAAGTAAGGCTTGAAAGAACAAGGCCCGCCAGCATGCTCCAAGCTAAAGTGTTCGGCATAGGCCGCAGCTCAAACTCCGGCTGCATGGAGATCCGCACAGACACAAAAGCTGCCGAGCCAACCAGAATAGCCGGCAAGCCATTGTACACTACAAGAAGCAACAGAATCTTGGACATAGTATTATTGCCACGCCAGGAGTGCGACCAGAACTGGGCAATATGTCGCCTCACTTCACTTTGCTGGTAACGGTCTGGTCCGTTGTGCCCTTCCCGCAAAGCGCGTCCAAACCACCAAAGTGCGTGGCGTGCCTGCGTCACTCTTACCACCTCCGGCCTTGTGACCTCAAGGCGCTCAAGGAAGTCCTTGAGGAGATCGATTGTGTCTGAATCTCGTCATCCTCGAGCCCTTGTTGATCGATGGGTTCTGGCTGCAAAGGTCCAGCCTCAACTGAAGCACAGGGCTCCGTGTTCGGAATTGCTGCCCTCTCGTCTGGCACCGCTTCACTTCCCAGCGAATCTGAATCCATGTAGAGACGACGTGCGGGGAGCTACCAACCGCTGACTAAATCACTTGAGTTCAGGTGGCGGTAAGAAACAAAGCTGAGGAACGCAGCAAGCGGCACGCTGCCAATGTTAAGTGCAACCAACTGTTGGCGATGAGATAGAGCGAACTTTCTCCTCAATAAATACACGTGGACAACAGCGACTAGCAAGGCTAGAGAGAGGCGTCCTGTGGACCCTGGATGACGTTGAATCTCGGGTTTTGATGGGGGTGTAGTAACTTGAACATCCCACCAATACATAAGACATTACAAGACGATTCAACAGATGCTCTTCACCGAGACCGCCGGCGTAACAGTATTGCTATAATGATGAGCTGAAGGAAAGCAGATCGGTGAGGGACACGAATGCAGGTCAGTTTCCAGGATCATCCCCGAAAGCCTTGCGTACATCATTTACATGCCGTTCCACCCCGATCAGCGCCTGTCATCGCTGGGTGTAGGCCGGCCAAGAATTTTGTTCTTCCTTGGCGCAAGGTCTGTCAAAATCCTAAGCTCGAGGGGCATCCTGATAGTTACGGGGTATCTCAATTGCAGTACCCGGGAAAACACTAGCAATCATCCAACACTAGGATGTGATCCTAAACTAAGCAACAGCATCAACGGCATTCTCCTCATGCACCGCCGGTCGCGATACTGATGCCGACAGCAGTACCGTACTACCGTACTGATACCAAAAGCAGCAATACTAGCATCGATTATACATTACATATACGTACACAAGCAAAGAGGGACTGTAGAAAACCGATCCACAGCGATATCTGCCGAGCAGACAGGGCCAGCTAGCAGTAGCCATGAACCATGAGTCCCCTAAACCCTAAACCACCCTTAACCCTAACCCAGTCATGAACTTCGAAATCTTTGAGCATCTTGTTGGCCCTTGTGTCGGTCGAAGGTCGATCGCAGGCTTTCGGAGCTGGATCTGGTCTTGCCTGGAACCTTCAGACTTTAGGGTTTAGGGTTAAGATTAGGGCTTAGGGTTTGGGGCTTAGGGTTTGGGGTTTAGGGGTTTAGGGTTTAGTTTGGGGTAAGATGCATGATCCTCTTGTTTTGTCCGTTAAGCGCAAGGAAGGGCTGTGATACGTGCGGGTTTTACATACATGCATCCATGCATGCGCGCACCATCCGTGCCAAGCCACCAATTGTCCGATCCCCGCAAGTCAGGGGTTCGTGTTTGGTGATGCCCTAAACCCTAAACCCTACCTGGACCCCAAAGAACCTACCTTTTTAGGCCTCCTCATTATGATTTTGTTGTATAAGTCCTTAACAAGGTAGGTTATTCGGGGTTAAGGTACACCATAAACTCGGGGAAAGGATTTAGGAATGCGCAACAATCAGACTTAAAGCCCAGAGTCTGAAGCAGCCCAGACCCTGAAACTGAAACGGTAGCTCCCTCCTAAGTTGTCAACCCTAATGTAGGCAGCTGATTAAGAAGCCTTGGGCCTTTCACACCAAAATAGTAGTATTTATATAAGGACCCTAATAAAGGCCCAGGTCTCTTAATCAGGTTCCTACATTAAACATGTCAAAACAAACCGAACCCTCGCAGCAATCAGCCCCACACCTACAACTAACAAGAAAGCCCCTGACCGCAAACAAAGGCTCTCGAACCGCAAACTCTACACCCTATATCCTAAACCCTCAGCTCCTGAACCCTAAACCCCCAAACCCTTAAACTCCTAAACCCTAAACTCCTAAACCCTGAATTCCTAAACGCTAAACCCTTAAACCATAAGCCCCAGACCAGATCGCCGTGGCTGAAAGCTCCACCACCTGCAGGGCGGAACGCTTTGGAAGCTTGTTTGGGCTAATTTAGCTTTAGGGTTTTAGGGTTTCAAGGATTTAGGGTTTAGGTTTTAGGGGTTTGGGCAAACTTAAGTTCGTCTAAAAGGTTAAGGGTCCTGTAAGGCTCTGTAGGGGTTTAGGGTTTTAGGAGTTTAGGGTTTAACGGACCGGTTTCGAAAATATGCTTCGCATTTAGTGGCCTTTAGAGCTTGATCATTGGTTTCAGGGTTTTGGGGGTAGGGGTTTAGGTTTTCGCTATTTTTGTTTACGGGTTCCTAAACAGGGTTCCTGCAAGGTCAAGGGCCTGTGTGAGGGTTTCTAATGTAAATGGTTGCACCTAAGAGTTGCTACAAGGGTTTTAGTTCCTGAACGTTCCGCCGGGCTAGAGGTCCCAGAGACTCCAATATCCTTTAATTAAGGATCCTACGATAACATAAGGAATCTTTCCTTGATTAAGGGGTATTGGAGTCTCTGGGGTGTTCATGGGCAGCTATACGTACGGTTATGAGTACGGCCCTCTAAGGGAACTTATAACCCTACTTATAACTACCCATGAAGCTCCAAGTAGGGATTAGGGCTCAGGGATGCTCAGGGATTGCGGGTGTAGAGTGTAGGGTTTCAGGGCAGAGTTCGGACGGTGCAAGGATTGGAAGGCTCAGCTTATGGGGCTCCGGTGTTGGGACGTAATACAGGGGCCTTAAAGGGGGCTAGAGGTGTTACTATGAGGGATGTATAAGGGTACGTACTATTGTATAGGGGTCTTACTTAATGGAACAGGGTTTTGGGGCTCATTATGCTCTAATTATAATAAGGACCCACCACAATAGTATTGGGAATTATTCAAGCCCCTATAGTAGGGCCGAGGGCTTGGGTTTCTATTTCGCGTGTTGGGGGTTTAGGACTTGGCTTCATGTTGGCTTGGGACTGGATGCTTTTATTGGAGCTTTTGGGTCTAAAGTTTACCTGGTTTACCTATAGTCTCCATTGTAGTTCCTCTGTTTCGGGTACCCAGATTTATATTATAGAAACCCTAACCATAAAACTGGTTACCCACAAAAAGGAACTACAATGGAGTCTAGAGGTAGGGTCTACATGCGGGGGCCAGGTGTTGAGGCTCGCGGAGCAGGGCTTGCCTCGATGTTCTTCAACAGCTTCTTCTGAAAAAAACCCTACTTGGAGGTTCATGGGTAGATATAAGTAGGTTTTAAGTCCCCGCATATGGGCTATACAAATAGCTGCCCTGCTTCTAACTCCACTTATACCCTAACCATGAACCTCCAAGTAGACCCTGAAGCCCGAATCTCTGAACCCATGTTAGAATTCATTAGACAGGGGGGGTTGAGGCACCCTACCTTGACACCCAACGCATTTTTTAGGACATACATCAATCTACTCCCTAAGCACGGTTAGGGTAAGCCCGAACCCTTGGTTCAAACCCTAGTCACCGAAAGCCCTAAACCCTAAGCCGTGAACCCACCACTCCTGACCCAAAGCTCCACTCCAGACTGCAAAGCTAGAACCACAAACCCCAGACACCACAAAAGGCCCTCGCCAAGATCCACACTGGCTGCCGCCGACTCGCAAAGCCCAACCTCAAAATCTTAAATCGCATCTAAGCCGCAAACGCCCTTCACACCAAACCCTAAACCCTGAACCTTAAGCCTTAAACCCGTATAACATACTCCAAACCACCTGCTTTATCAGGCCTCCGGCTCAACATCCTGAAGCTCATCCAGCTCCAATGGCGTCAAGCAGCCTCGTCGGCAAGGGCTGAGGGCTTTCGGGTCGGTTTAGGGTCTGGGGGTTTTTAGGGTCTAGCATGGTTTGGGGTTTAGGTTTGCTGTTTTTCTGTTTGCAAATCTTTCTCGTGCACAAAGCCCAAAAGAATATACCCTATATGTGCTACGAGCTAAGACCCTTGTTATCTAGACCCCTGCACCCAACCGCATCCTAAGCCTGACTTGTCTGTGCCTGCGAAAGCCAAGAAGGTCCCAACAACGGCCTTCCATGATCCCAGCATCTAGCCTTTAGAGTTTGAATACATTAGGGTTTTGGCTCGGAGTTTGAATGATATATCATAGGGCAGCCAAATTCCGAAGAGTTTGTTGTATCATAGAAGAAACAAGCCAGCCTGAATTGTACTTCTGGGGCCTAACTTCTGAGAATTTGCAGGAATTTCCAAGGCTCGAACTCATTGCATCAAATCCCCTAAACCCTGAACCCTTAACCCTGAATCCTAAACCCTAAAGCCGGAATCGCGGGACTTCTTGAACCCTCAGGTGGTTCGGGAAGTTTAGGCTTTTTGAAACCCTAAATCCCAGGCCCGAGAGAACCACTTACACGCCTCATATCCTGAACTCCTAGCGTCTCTCAAACAACCCGGCCGAAGTCCAGAAGAAGGAACGGGCAAATCTGCTGTGCCAAATGCCGTTGTCGCCATGACCATCGTCATCATAGTCATCATCATCATCATCATCATCACCAGCATCGTCATCGTCATCACCATCACCAGCCCCACATTGTCATCATCAACATCAAAGTCATTATCATCATCATCATCATCCTGGTCCCTGGTCCCTGAACCCTAAATCTCAGCTTTGTTAGTCCTCCGTAGAGCGCACCTTTGTTGCCGAAAGCTTCCGAAATCCCCACTTGGCGGTTCATGGGAATTTGTAAGTGGGTTAAAAGTCGTGGGGTAAAAGTCTTCTAATATGGATTGTAGCTATGGCTACCCTACTTGTAATACCACTTACTACTCATGAACCTCCACGCAGAGCTGGCCATGTCGCGTCCCGGCCTTCGTCAATGGGTGTAAGCGTGCCGCTGTTCACCTGGAGTTCGGGGTTTCAGAAACGGTCACCCCGTGGGGCCTGCGCTAGGGTTCGGGATCTAGGGGTAGTTAGGGCTTAGGCTTTAGGGCCAGTTTTCCGACTGCGCTGGTGTGCAATTCCGAAATACGTATCCTAAGCCCTAGATAGAGCCTGTCACAATAACCAAAAGACTGTGCCGCTGCCAACCTGCAGCATAAGCACCACAAAGTGGTGACGCATCCGAAGCTATCAAGCTTCCAAACTCGAGCACATTGGCAAACCCCAAGCACCAAACCCAATTCATGATGACCCCACGCTTAGAGCGGCACAAAGTCTTAAGAATCTTCTCAACTTTCAAGGAGTGTTGAAAACCTCTTGATGGAAACCCTACATCGCACTGCACACACCCCGAACCACAACTCAAACTCGTACAGCACCACCCTAAACTGTTGAATCTTACTCTAAGAGACCTCGAGAAAAACGCTAGTCCGCACGGTATGAAGGCACTTGTAAAGCTTATACGATAATCTGAGCCTCAAACCCCTTATGAAACCCTTCGAACTTCCATCGACTTACAAAACCCTTCAAGAACACTTTCGAGCTCCGCCCTCAGTCGGCAAGAAGAAGCCTCCTTTCTCTCTAGGTAATGGCAGGAGATCCTTACTATCCCCTTTACCTCAAGTGCTCCGACGGAGCTCCCTGAACCCTACACCACCTGCTCCTGCTCTTCGGGTTCTTCTTGATGCTCTTCGGCCTCTGCCCCAGTCTCCTCGGGGGCCTCCAGAGAGCTACCGCTGATGATACAAATCCTGCATTACCTTGAGGACCCTAAACTATGGGAATTATGGTATATTCCTCATTACGGGTAATGCTGTATTTATATCGTCAACCGTATCACCGCCCCTTCTCTTTAATTCCAGGGTGCAGCGTTTAGGGCTTCTGTGATTTAAGGGTTCATGTGCTGTGTTTCAGGTTTCGATGCGCGGGGAAGGTCTTGTACTTTGGAGTCTCCTGCATCGGAGGTTAATCTCTTCTTGTTGCTTGAACCAGGGAACGGTTTAGTGTTCAGGACATAATATAGGGCCAAAATGATTACCAATACTATTCTGGGGTTCCTTCATTAAAATTCGAGAATAAGTGGCCCCGCAACCCTATTCCAATTCTTAAGGCCCCTATATTCAACCTCCTCTCCAGGAAGATGGCCACTAAGGCAGCTTGTTGAGGCAGAGGGTGGCGACACAACTCTTTTGCAGTCACCATACGTAGCCCGTGACTCCGTTAGCAGGGCTCATCCAAGCCACAAACCCCAAAGGCCTGAATATGAGACTACACCGTCCAGTAAAGGCTCGAAGTAGTCTGCTTGATGGTGGGGGCGTAGAAACTAATAGACCGTAGTGACGTCGGCATCGGCATCACGAAGAAGCCGGAGGGGCCAGACCACTGGAAGCATGGTGACTTTGTTGAAGTGTTCCAAGGCCGAAGCTTCAGACGAACCACATTATCAGGATCACCAAAACAAGATACCCTGCGATACCCTCCTACAATAATAAAGGAGCCATATCATTTGCCATAGATTCCCAATATGGTAACTTAAGTTAAACTCCTTAACAAGAACCCAGCTAAAGCCCTGCAAACCACATTTATTAAAGATCCCTACTATGGTAACTTAAGCTAAACGTCTTAACAAGAAGCCATATTACTTAACTACCATAGATCCCTGTTATGCTAACTTAAGTTAAACTTCTTAACAAGAAGCCATCTTATTTAGTTGCTATAGGTCCCTACGGTATTATGGTAACTTAATTTAAACTCCTTAACATGAACCCGGGGAAACAAAAGCTCGGACACTGGGCTTTTAAGTGACCGAGGAGAAAGAAGTATAAACTTTTATTTCATAATGGTCCCTTTGAGAAAAAGTAGAAAAGTATGGTACTCCAAAGCCCAGGACAGGATCCCTCAGCTGTGTTTTGGGCGCGTGGGTGTGTCTCAAGAGGAATTGGAGAACGCTCAGTTTTAAGGATAATTGATAGATTTTCATAATACCAGCATTCAAACTAGTAGTCGTATGATGTCAATATCAATATTAGTGTGACTATAGTTTAAGATTCAGTCTAATATTTAGATGAATATTGACATCTACGACTTTGGGTTTTGGACCTTTAGGATCTTGAGCCATCTGGCGGGGCCCTGAAACCTGGAGAAACCTTCTAAGATCAGGCTGACAGCTTGCCTCTGTAGAACGATGCACTCGAAACTCTCGCCTATGTGCTATCCCATGGCGAAACCCCACACCTTGAGCCTTAAGTATATTCCAAGACCGTGCAATTAGCTTCCGTTGGCCTCCGAGCTGTTTGAGCTGTCGTCCCCCTCCGACTCCTGGCAAACATGCATATACATATATATATATATATATATATATACATATACATATCTACGTCTATGCATTTATGTTTCTGTCAATGCATGCATACATACCTACGTACATACCTACATTACATGCCTACCTACCTGTAAACCTGCCTGACTGTCTATGTGCATACATATATACATACACAGATTCATTCAGTGTGCATGCATACATGTATGCAAAACATGTATGTCACTCCTCTTCCTCTCGCTCTCCCTCTCCCCGTCGCTCTCGCTCTCGCTCTCTCTCTGTCTCTCGCTCTCTCTCTTTCTCTTGAGGGTCGGAGGTTTGCACCGCTTCGGAAGCAGGCTGAAAATGCCTGTCGTGGCAGTTAGGGTTCCAGCAAAGTGCTATGGCGCTGACTATGCTGCTTGTCAAACGTAAAGTAGTATTGTGGCACAGAGACAACTCAGCTGCCCGCCCTTCGAACTTGCCGGGCCAGACAGGACAGCCGGATGGTGGGGCCCACGAAGGTGCGGCGATGACTCCGCTGATGGCAACGAGGTTCTCTAAAGTTAGATCCTTGAGCTGCTGCGCTGTCAGTCGGCGGCTTTTCCTGAGACCTGCAAACGCCATGAACCCCTAAACCCCCATGGCCATGAACCTTCATGTAGGCCCCCGATTGGCTGTCCTAAACCCTAAAGCCCTAAAGCCCTAGACCCCTGAAGCCCTCAACAACAAAACCAGCCCTAAAGCCCAAAACCCTCAACCCTTAAGCCCTAAAGCCCTAAAACCCTAAAGCCCTGAAAACGTAAAGCCCTAAAGCCCTAAAACCGCAATACCCTAAAGCCCTAACACCTTAAAGCCTTAACACCCTAAAGCCCTTAAGCCCTAACACCCTAAAGCCCTAAAAACCCTAAAGCCCTCAAGCCCTAAAACCCTGAACCCCTGAAGCCCTAAAACCCTAAATCTTAAACCCTCAAGCCCTAAAACTCTAAAGCCTTAAAACCCTAAAGCCCTAAAACTTAAGCCGTAAAACCCTAGAGCCCCAAAACCCTAAAGCCCTAAAACCCTGAAGCCCCAAAACCCTAAAAACCTAAAGCCCCAAAACCCGAAAGCCCTAAAACCCTAAAACCCTAAAGCCCCAAAACCCTAAAGCCCCAAAGCCCTAAAGCCCCAAAACCCTAAAGCCCTAAAACCCTACAGCCCTAAAGCCCTAAAGCCCTAAAACCCTGAAGTAAGAAGCCCAACAGTAAGCTGCCAGCAATAAAACCCGACACAAGCAACCAGCAGCAAGAGGACCCATGCTGTCTGAAACACTGGAGCTACAGCTCCCGGAGCTCCACGGAGTTCTGGACTCTGCTGCAACATGCGGCAACGGCTCCTGCATTGGTAAAGTGTGGAAGACCTGCTGAGGCTCTGACCTTGCGCACCGTCAATTTGGCCTGGCAGAAAGCTGGAGAATGGTTGTCGACATGGTCAGCCGGTCGCATGACCAAGCCTGCCCTTCGGAGTGGGCGGCGTGTATGCCCTGAACGCTTGAAGCAGCGCTGAGGCTTTCTCCATGTTTGGGGGTTCAAACATTAGCTGCACTGCCGCAGGCCTCAAAAAACGCGATCAGGTCTGTGACCATGGCGTGACCTCCGCTCGCGTCCCGTTCCCTCCCCTCCTCCCTTGCCCCCACACTACCACACCAAAACCCTAAAGCCCCAAAACCCTAAAGCCCCAAAACCCTAAAGCCCTAAAACCCTAAAGCCCTAAAACCCTATAGCCCCAAAACACTAAAGCCCCAAAACCCTAAATCCCTAAAACCCTAAAAAACCCTGAAGCCCTAAGCCCTGACGCCTAAATCCTAAACCCCTATAGTACCCTTATAGAGCCCTTTAAAGGAACCCTAATACTTCCCTAAAGCCCTGAAGCCCTAAAACCTGTCCTCCTCTGAGTCCGAAGACTCCGAGTCCGAACTCGCGCTGCTCGAGTCAGAGTCCGTGTCCGACTGCAGGACGCTATTTTTAACACGACTTTCAGGGTTCCTTTAAAGGGGGCTGTAAGGGATGCTATTTCTGTTTAGGGCTTGGGGTTTCGGGTTTAGAGCTTCGGGGGTTTTTAGGTTTTTAGGCTTTCGGGTTTAAGGTTTAGGGTTTCGGACTTTTCTAAAGATGCAATAGCCCGGCCCTCTTTCTCCAAAGACAGCTTGCTCAGACTGATCGTGCACTCCTGCCCTGTACTCACTTGTACCCCTTGTTTAGGGTTTAAGGTTTGGGGGTTGATGCTAGTTCTAAAAGGTCTGACCATGGGTAGTTCTCCAGGTTCGGGTCCCGTTTTTGGGTCCCCAAAAGGTCCTCCGAAGTGTTTTCATGTGAGTTCGATGTTGTGCCCCCGCTGGAGCAACCGGGAACAACGGTCCGGAAGAGCAGGTTTAAGGGTTTAGGGTGCTGAATATGGGTAGGGGCCTAAATGACAAGAATAGGGGTCCCTTTTTGAAGGGGCCTATAGGGGCTACTATACAGGGATCGATAAGGGTACTAAGAGTATAAGGGGTCTTTATGATTACAATAGGGTTTTGGACCCATTATACTTTGCTTACAACAAGGAACCCCCCCCAAAATGGTATAGGTAATTATTGAGGCCCTATATTGAGGGGTTTAGGGTTTAGGGTTACACTCACAGCTGCTACTGCCCCCGCCACCACACTGCCTCAGCGACAACGACGACTACTGTTGCTGTTCAGGTCCTCGGCTCCTTCCTTGACGGCTCCTGCTTTGGACAGCAAGAGGTGGTTCTTCTCTACGAAGGCCTTGCAGGAGCTCTCGTCCAGCTCCTCGACGTCCTGAAGCGTGGAAGCCAAAACTTCGGACTCAGCATCCTCCAAGAAGCACAAGCACTCTTTGATCTCCTCCTCTTTCTCGTTGCCCACAAATTGCACACGAAAGTTCTTGTACGAGACAACCAAGGGCTTGATTTTGCCGAGGAGTTGGCCAAGCTCGCCCTTTTGGGTCTTTGCTGGGAGGATCCAAACGTGCTCCAGTTTCACGGAGACTTCGGGAGGATCCTCGGCACTGGTCGAGGGCTGCTGCTGCTACTGCGACTGTCACTACGACTATTGCTACTACAACTACGGCGACGACGACGACTACTACTGCTACTACTGCCACGACGACGACAACTACCACCACCACGTCGACGATTTCTAATGCTGCTCGAACTGCCACTGCTCCGACTGCGACGACGACAACTACTGCTACCACTACTACCGCCCTTGGTTCATGGTTTCACCACTAGTATTAAACTCTGAAGGAGCCTTGGTGCAGTGCTTGACAAGGGGCCGATCCACCCGCGAGTGTTTCGCTTCGGCGGAAAGTTTGGTGTTACTAGAGGCGCCTTAATAATTACAATAGAGTTTGGGGGCCATTGTACTGTAATTATAGTGGGGAACCCCCACAACACAAACTTGTATAGGTAATTTTTAAGGCCCCTATGTAACCGAAAACAACGACAACGTCGACTTCAAAGCAGCATTGCTCGTGCATGTCTTCAGTGATCCTAGCTCGGCGCGGCTTCGACATCTCTAGAACCTAAACCTCAAAACAATGAAGGCAGTAGCGCGAAGACAACACTTCCAGGCAGGCAAGTGGCCGGGCCGGGAATGATCGCAGGGATACAAAAATCGTAACGAGAACTCACCCCCAAGAATCCCCAGCACATCTTAACTAATTTACACTCCGCACAGTCCCTTGCTATGAGAAACACAAGCAACGCTCTCAGTCATGCTTTAGGCTCAGCCCAACCACAAAATCGTAAGCCCTCTGGAAGGCCTCTTCTGGCGACGTAGCGGACGTCGGCTGTATATGGGCCTCGATGTGGCTTGGGATTTCGGGGCTCAGGATCTCGGGTATTTTGGCTTTGGACTGCTAAGCCACTAACCTCGACGGGGATTGCAGTACTCAGGATTCCAACTACCATTGCAAATGCGGGGCCATGGGTCAAAGCATGATCTAAAATCGTCCGTCCAGCGCCGCTGCAACCTCTAAGATTCTAAGGAAAGACACCAAGAGTGTTGTTGTCACGGTATACTCGAGCTGCTACGCGCAGTTCAAGCGGTTTCATCAGCAGCAGGCTGGCTCCTCCTCCTCCTCCTCCTACTAAACTGCTTCTACACTACAGAAATACTCCCAAGTGGCAAGTAGCTACATTCCTCCTCCTGCGACCAACTACTCATAACTTCTACTTCTGTTACACGCTGCCACTGCCACCACAAGAACGACAACTACGACGACGACCATGGCCATTACTGTCATTACTGTTGAGAGGGTACGATGCAAGCGCACGTTTCTGAAGCGTGTGGTGTCTTGCATGCACTTAGATCCTGGACATCTCCTTGGACAGAAGGCTTTGCTTTGTCTTGTGGCTAGGCATCCGTCACATTCCTGGCGACGGGCGTCACGGTCGCGCTGCCGACCTTGTTCCCTCGGAAGTTGATGGACTCAAGCCTAATCTCATCCTTCGTGAAGATAAGGTCGAAGAAGCCATAGGCCGTTGAGCGTTCATTTTCGGGCGAGACCTCCGATGTGATGCCACCGCCACCGCCCGTAATGAAGCAGGTTAACCCACCTGTGCAGGAGGTACGGACACCAATTTCAGACCCTAACTACCAGGAACAAAATGTTAAGGGCTTCTTACAATGTACTTCTGTTCTCCAGAACCTCCCAACAAACCCAGAAGCCCTATGGCAGCAATAGAGAACAACTCCCATACTCTTTTGTGAAACCCCCCACCTAGGACGGACCACTTGTCGAAGATGTTCTGCACATGTGTGTGGCCTGTCACTAGGAGGTCTAAGCCGAGCTCGTGATGCAGCTTCTTGTACCTTGGCTGCTTCGACTTCGACTAGCAGGTTCATGGGAACTAATGGGTGTGTGGGTCCATCAATATCTGATCAAGATTTACACACACTGGGCTTTTCAGGGTTTAGGGGCTCGTTTGTGTTATTAATGTAGTTTCTCTACCTGTAACGATTTGTGCTATCTTCTTCGGGTCACTATGCTGCGTGATGCTCATGAAACGAACATCCTGAAGCCCGAAACAATCTTTAACCTGGAGCCTAAATCCGAAAAAGGCTTCTACCCAATGTGTATCTTCTCAAGCACGCTGAGGCGTCCTAGCTTTGTGGGGTCTGTTTTAGGGTCCTTGCTCTCAGAAGCTTCCCTATCATGTCCAAGGTGCCACTGCGCCTGGTGCCCACACTGGAAGTGTGTAGCGATGATCTGCCAGTCAGCTGTAGACTCTTTGAGCTTCTTCTCTGTCCACTTCGACTGGCTTCTCCTGGGGTCCGCAAGTCTGTATTCATCACTAATTACAGTGGAAAGAGCTTCGCATTTCGGGTTAATGCCACCGTTCATGCTTGTTCTGGTGGCGAGGAGTCATATCTTTACTATCCGTCCTAAACCCTGAGCCCTAAAACTGGTTCTCAGGGGCGGAGTACCCTAGACTTAAACAAGGTTAACCTTTTCAATTATGGTAGGGTTACATAGAACCCAGAAGGGTAAAGGTCACCTACGCGAAGCCCTAAAGCCTAAAGCCTAAACCCCCAAACCCTACACCCAAACCCTAAATCCTAAACCCATAAACCCTAAACCCTACACCCTAAACCCTAAATCCCTAACCCCTAAACGCTTTTTCTGCGCATGCCCAGGCTCCAGGTGTCCCACATGAACTTGAAGCCTTGGTCGCTGTGGAAAAGGTGCACTGACGTACGTATAGGGGCCTTGATAAGTAGAATAGCTGTTCCTTTTTAAAGGGGTCCACGGGGACTTCTATGAGGGATTAACAAGGGTACTATCGTCAAGGGGCCTTAATACGTAGAACCGGGACCCAAGTTTCGGGTATGTTATACTATAGTCATGACAAAGCACACCAGTACTGGTAGTTTTATTACATACTTCGGTCGTTTTTTCTGTCTGCTTGCACACCTTACTAAACAAGACGTGTTGACCTCTCCCATGAATTACAATTGGCGCGAAACCCTAAACGCTAAACCCCTAAACCCTAAACCCGCAATCAAGAAGAGCCCGGCAGCAATCATCCAGGTCCTTTGGCCCGCCCGTTGCGGCGCAGTTGGCACCCGGCGGATTCTTGGCAGCTCCGCAAATGTTGTGATTCGGATCTGCGCTCCTTAGCTGACCCAGGGGGAGCTTGGAGGGTCGGGAGACTTAGCAAGTAGGTAGTAAGTAGACTTATAAGTACCCTAAATTGGACCCTAATTGGGGTTATGGTACTTATAAGTCCCTAAAACAAACAGTTACTAAGTCCCCCGACTCTCCAAGTAGCTGACTCCAGGGAGAGAGATATGGAGGTTTCCGAAAACTAGGGGGTGCCGTATTTTGGGCTCCAAATAGTAAGGATCCTACTATCTAGGGCAGTTTATTAGGGTCCCCTATTTTCGGAAAGTCCCATATGGTAAGGGTTTACGGATTAGGGCATTCTATATCTAGTAAGGCGCTATCAAGTTGCACACAAACCTCCCACCAAGCCACTCCATCTACACAAGTACATCCACATGAACAACCTGCAAAGGGTTCATGCAGTCCATGTGGCTGCTTTGCAGCTGTATTGCAAAAGGGCCAGGTTTTGGCCTTTCTGGCTCAAACCTTCATCCCTAAGCCCCAAACCCCTGCATCGTACATTGTTTGGGATTTAGGGCTTGCTGGCTTGGGGTTGTGCCCAGATTCTTAGGATGGGAATCCATAGCATTGGTGTCCAGCATGAAGATCTCCACGGAAAACTCCGGATACTCCACCCGCTGCATGAAGTACTGGCCTGAGAAACCACAAAACAACTAACAAGAAGCTGTCAAGGCAAAATCCCTACAAGGGGCGGTTTGGCTTTAGGGGGCTGCAAAGAAGATACTGTCAGGGTTCTCTACTTGTTTTCGGGCTCTAAGCCTTAAACCCTAAACCCCTAAAACTCTTTTGGGGGCCCTCCGTCCTGGCCTGGCATGACCCAGCGATCGCTAGCCCAGGTGTAGGCGATCTGCTGGTCCCATGCCTTGTTGAACCTGGGCTCTTCTTCAAGGCCCTTGAAAAGACACGAACACACACACACACATATATATATATATATATATAGTATATGTATGTATATATGTATATATGTATATATAAGCGTGACAGTATGCTTCTTCTCAAAAGACTATCTCTCTCTCTCTCTCTCTCTCCCTCCCCCTCTCTCTCTCTCTATAAATATAAAACAGACACACGCGCACTTGTCTGTATCTATATTTGTTTGCTATCCTGCGCACGTAACTAAATGTCTGATTACACATAAGTACAGACATACATGAATACACATTACATGCATAATACAACATCGTTTATGTCTGTGCAAATGGACATATGTAGTTCCAAACATAATATGCATAGAGGTGTATACATAGTCATTTTTGTTGTTAATGCTATTATTGTCATAGTGTTACTGCACAAATTACTCTACGAAAACATAGGAAAACGGGATCAAGGGCAGCCTAGAGACTGGAAGCCCCCGTAGTCGTGGTTACCGAGGACGCTGAGCCATGGCTTTCCATCCACGCCATCGCCGGTGTAGACTTTCTCGAAGATCTCCTGGGCTTTTATAGGGTTTTATAGTATAGACCTTCTCGAAGATCTCCGAGAATTTATCGGATTTTGTAGGCTTTCTCCAAGATCTCCTATACTCGTATTACAACGGTCTCCTTGGATTTACAGGATTTTGTAGCGCTTTATAGGCTTTCTCGAAGATCTCCTGGGCTTTACACTGCTAATACAATGGTCTTGGTAGGCATTATTGGACTTGATAGGGTTTTAAAGACTTTCTCGAAGATCTCCTGGGGTTTATACGGGTACGACAATGGTCTTCTTAGGCTTTACAGGGTTCTATAGGGCTGTATACGCTTTGTTGAAGATCTCCGAGGCTTTACGCGTTTTACAGCTTTTTTCATCTTTCTCGAAGATCTTTTGGGTTTTAGGGCTTTTGGGTTTATAGACTTTCTCGAAGACCTCCTAGGCCTTGTAGGATTTTATAACGCTTTTATGGGTATTACAATGGTTTGTTTTATGGGTTTATCCGGGTAATATCTGAGTTTATACCCTGTTGATCATTATCAGTCTTTTAGGAGGAGACTCCAATGCAAAACGTGTACACCGGTACTAACAGGGAACTAGTCTCTGTGAACTGGTGAGCTGTCACCGGATGGATCTTGTTCATCGGCGTTCCGCAAGCGGTGTTCACACCTCCCCAGTAGAAGTTGTCTCCCACGTTGATGTAGAGGTCTGGCTGACGTTCTTTGGCGAACTTTTTCATGGTGGTTGCCACATTAACCTGCGCCCGATAGTCCGCATCGGGCACGTAGTTGCAGGATTTGGGGCAAGATTCACCAGCAAAGCAAGACCTCATCGTGTCAGTGTTGCACCCTCCCCGCCAGCGGGCCATCGTGTGAGGACCATTGGTGTGACCGCCCTTGTACTGGACCATCTGACCTGGGTTAGTTCCAACCAAGCTTCCCCAGTCGCCGATGGCAAACATGTGGTACTCCTTCTTCTCATCCGTGATCTTCATGGTTGGCCAAGCGACGCCGTTGTACTCCTGGACCTCCTTAGGGGGCTCTAAGCCGCCACGTGCTTTCACCGTCATCACACTTGGGGCGGTGTAAGTGTAAGTTGGACCAGCACTGGCGCCGGCGCCTGCGGCATCAGTGCAACTTCCTGGGCCGGAGACCACGCCGCCATGGCCGATGGCATGAGCACCGGAACTGGTCAAAAGGCAACCTCCATCTCTCCAGAACGAGAAGTGGGCGCAACCGGGAGTTTGCGCGCACGCCCCCTGGCACATCTGTGGAGAAGGTAGGAGCATCCGCCGCGTACCAGGCATAGTGATCGCATTGTTGGCCTCCCTGTAATAAACATTTGCCTGCCAGCAACCACTCTCTTCGCCATCCGCTGCTCCCGTGTCTTGGACATGCTCCTTGACCTCCGCCAGGGAACTCTGCAAGTTGCCGGAGTCATAGTCGGCGGCAAACTCGGACTGCTCTGTGCAGGGCAGGACGATGGAGACAGGCTCGACCTCTTGTTGGTCGTACCCTTCCTCCGCCTCCGCCTGTTGGCGGCCTAGACGAAGCTGACGCAAAGAAACGCTGCACCTGGGTTCTTGTTAAGGAACTTAATTTAAAGTACTATAGTAATAACGAAACCCTATTATTTTCTATGAACCCCTATTTTGGTAACTGAAACTAAGAGCCTGAACAAGAACCCAGGCACTCACCCTCTTCGGAGTCAATGCAGGCATCGTCCCCGGCCAACAAAGAGGCCTCTGGGTCCTCCGAGCATGGGCAAAACCTGGGTTTTTGTCAAAGGGTTCAGGGTTAAGGAATTTAAATTCAGATACCATAATAAGGAAACCATATTACTTACCATAGATCCCTATGATGGTAAGTTAAATTACACTCCTTAACAAGGACCCAGAAACCAAAATGCTTCCGTAAGGAGCACCAAAAGGAAGGATCGAGTGGGCACCATCCTGACCACTGTGATCGCGATTCTGCGTATCAGGCGGTGCTCTGGGCAAGACACAAAAATGAGCCGACTTATGCGACCAGCTCGAGCAAAATGTCCTCGAAACGTGGCCTGATGCACGTCTGCTGTTGCAGCACGCGACAAGAAGAACACCTAGGCTCCCACTGACCAAGCTCAAAGCATGCAACCCCTGAAACCGCAAGGCCGAAGCCCGAGAGCATGAAGTCGTAAACCCGGAACTTAGCACCGGAAGCAATAAGCCCTCAACCCTAAACGCTTCATCCACGATCTAAGACCTTTGATGCCAGCCCTTCTAGGCCCTGAAACCTATTCCTTGTCACTTCCAAACACCGGATGGCCTCGGACAGTGGAGAACTATCTAGTATCTCCCAGGTAGATCACGATCTGAGGCAGCACGATTGGATCGTCAGCATCTTGTCCTACTACATGCCTGTAAAGATACGCACTGCCCCATCCTAAACCACCCAATCCTGAACCGGACTCCTATACCCTTAATGCCAAAACCCCAACCCCCAGCAAGATGTCCTTATAACTGTATCCATTTCATGTATCTCTTAACAGAAGCTAAAATCAGCTAGAACCCTAAAAGCGGGCCTCTTCTTGCGAGACCGTGGGCTCCAAGTCCTCCCTTGCAGATCCGTCCTCATCGGGTCTCCAGGTTCACGGTTCAGAGCTCACTAAGTGTCTCAGGCTTGTTCCACTTCTGGACGGCCATGTATAGCTCCATACCTAAACCAAAACGCGTGGTAGTTTTACGAATGCCTCAGTTCTTTCGATGCAACTCAAGCCCGCGGTCCCAAAGCGCTGAACGCCTAACCGTTCCTGCAGGCCTCAGCCGGAGGCTCGGGAGACGCGGGTTGGAAATCCGCCTCGACGTCTTCGACCTGCTCCAGTATCAGGGTTGAGGGTTTAGCGCGTGGCTGTGGGCTCTAGATCTTTTAAAAGGCTTCCTATTGTTTCGTTGGGTTTATGAGGATAGTTGAAGGCAGATCGAAACCCACACGCTCATCAAAACCCTGACATAAACACTAAGGCATTCTGAGGCTCTAGGAGGAGAATGGCCCGATAAGGGTGCACCTGGGAGCCAAACCCCAACGATGGAGTTTCGCAAGACTTAATCTAAAGCCTGAACTCCAAATCCCCTAAAGCAGGGACCTTAATAATTGCAATAAGGTCTTGGGGGCTCCTTGTTATAGCTGTAGTCTAATTATGTATACTATAATATACCCCAAAGCCCCTGTTTTAAAGCGGGCCTCTTCTTGCGAGGTCGTAGACTCCAAGTCCTCCCTCGCAGGTCCATCCTCCACGGATCTCCGAGTTTGCTGGCGGATTTGCCGTTGATCCGTTGAGAGTCGGGTCTTGGATCTAAAGTTCCAGGGCCCTACCTTAACCCACCAAAACCTACAACAAAGTAGGGTCCCTATAAATTCCAAATTAGGGTTCATAATAAGAACCTACAAAAAGGTAGGGTTTGGTAGGTTAAGGCAATCCCTAAGCCATAACCCTAAACCCCGAGCCTGAATTCGAATACCCTACACTTTGCGGATTTGGGAGTGGATTTGGGGTTGAGGGTCTGAGTCATCGAGTTGGGTGCTTAGGGTTGAGGGTCTTAGGCTTCTTTACCTCTGAGGGTCGAGGGGGTACTTGGAGGTTCATGCGTAGTTAGAAGTGGGGTTATAAGTCCCTTTATCTGGGGTACAAGTATAGTTACCCACTTATAACCCCCTTATAACTACCCCATGAACCTCCGACTTATAACCCCATCTATAACTAACCCATGAACCTCCGACTTATAACCCCATCTATGACTAACTCATGAACCTCCAAATAGTTAGGCTTCGGTGTTCAGCCTCGAGGGTGCTAGGGTTCGTGATATAAATCCTGCATTACCCATAATAGGGAATATACCATAATTCCCATAGTTTAGGGTGCTTAAGGTAATACAGGATTTATATCATCAACCGTAGGGTTCATGGAGTTCACGGTTCAGAAATGCTTACGGGTCTCAGGGTTGATCGACTTCTGGATGGCCATGTATGGCTCCATACCTAAACCTTCATGCCGAAAGCCTAACCTCTTGAAGCCTACCCTAAACTCTAAACCCTAAATCCTCAACCGTAAACCCTCAACCCTAAACCCAAATCACGGTCCTACATGTGGGTGGTTGTCAAAATTAGGGTCCCTTTTTGGGTACCCAAAAAGGGACCCTAATTTTGACAACCACCCATGTATAGCTTCAGATCTGAAGCCTATGGAAGCGGGAGTTCCTTCGATGACATCGCCTCGGAACCCTCAAGCCCGTAGTCCCAGAGCGCTGAAGTCCTAAACCCTACGATTCCTTCAAGGGTCCCTTTAAAGGAATCTATAGGGATTCTATAAGGGTATAGGGTGTAGGGCCTACTTGGAGGTTCATGGGTTAGTTATAGGTGGGGTTATAAGTAGGGTAACTATACTTATAACCCATTTTAGGGGACTTAGAACCCCACTTATAAACTACCCATGAACCACCAAGTAGGACCCGAAGCCCAAAGACCTTGATCTAGATAGAGGGCTTCATGACACCAGCAAGGCTTTCGGGTATAGTAGACAATACTTTATTTAAGAGGTAGCACCTTAAAGCCTTACATTCCTGAAGAGGGACCCCAAAATTTCCTTGCAGGCCTCAGTAGGAGGCTCGGGAGACGTGGGTCGGAAATCCGCCACGCCGTCTTCGACCTGCTCGAATGCTTGTCGGTTTGGTTATTAGGTTTGGGGTTTAGGGATTGGGCTCTGGAGCGGTGTAAAAGGGGCTTCCCATTGCTTCATTGGGGTTTGCAGGGTTAGTTGAAACCCACGCATGCGCTCATCGAAACCTTGATACACACACCACGTCATCCCGGGGAGGGATTGGGCTCTAGAGCGTTGTCAAGGGGCTTCCTCTTGCTTCATTGGGGTTTACGGGGTTAGTTGAAACCCACGCATGCGCTCATCGAAGCCCTGATACAAACACCACGTCATCTCGGGGGCTCTAGGAGGAGACTGGCCTGACAAGAGTTCACCAGTCAGCCAAAACCCAACGATGGAGTCTCGCACTTAATCCGAACCCCTAAACTGGGCTTTTAAGCAACCAAGCAGAAAAAGTATAAGCTTTTCAATTGCATAATGGTTCCTTTAAGAAAAAGTATTAAAGTATAAACTTTTATTTCATAATGGTTGCTTTAAGAAGAAAGTATTACAGTATAAACTTTTATTTCATTATGGTTCCTTTAAGAAAAAAGTATTGAAGTATACACTTTTATTTCATAATGGTTCCCTCAAGAAGAATTAAAGTATGGTACTCCAAAGCCCAGGCAAATGCCCAACCCAAAGCCTGGGTCTCCCATCTCCTCCATGCCTCTCCCTGCTGAAAACCCCAGTCACTTAGTTGCTGAGTTCATAAGCCCCCCAACGAGTGTACACTTTGAGTTCTAAAGTGGGTAGTATTATCCCCAAAAGTGTAAAGTGCATCCACTCAGCTACTAAGGTCATACTATGACTTCTCCAGGGTTCCTTGCCATGCGAGGAGTACACTAAGAACCGGGTGAAGGGGAGGCATCGCTGCAACTTTCACGTTGTAGGGTGTGGCTTTCTTCGAGATCAGGGATTTCGTGTTTGCGTTGGCTATCGGCATCGTATTTTGCAATAAGTCTCTATTAGTCTATGGTCGCCCTTGCAAAGGCCCTTGCAGCAACCCTAAAACCTCTGCAGCGCGCCTCTTCTTGGGAGGCAGCAGACTCCAAGTCCTCCCTCGCAGATCCATCCTCCATGGGTCTCCGTTGAGGGTCTTAGAGTCTTAGACCCCAAATTCTAAAGCCCTCAACCCGTAACACTAAACAAACAATTCTACACCCCAATACCGTAAGCTTCAGGCAGGTTGGGCTCAGAGTCTTACCCATAGGTTGGGTGGGGGCTTAGGGATGCGGGTCTTGGGGTGCGAGCTGTATGTCTGACGGTCGAGGGGATAGCTAGGCTTCGGGGTTCAGGCTTGAGGGTTCTGGGGTTCAGAGCTCGTTGAGGGTCTCACCTAGGGTCGATCCTAGACCCCTGACGCCTTCAAGCCTACATGGTCCCACATGTTTAGAATCATATCTGAAGCCTGCGGAAGCGGGAGCTCTTTCCTCAACCCCAAAGTGCTAGAGCGCTGAAATCCCAAACCTCAGCACCTGAGACAAGGGCCCCTGAACGTCCTTGCAGGCCTCAGCCGGAGGCTCGGGAGACGTGGGTCGGAAATCCGCCACGACATCTTCGACCTGCTCAAAGCTCGATGTGTCGGGTTGGATGGGGTTAGGGTTTAGGTTTCGGGGTGTGTGTTTGTGGTTTTGCTTTGAGTTTCATGGTGCTGCAGCTACCATGGCTGGCAACACGAATTCAGATACCTGCCGTCATATTTATACATGACTTCAAGGGGTCGTACTTGCGAATCGCCCGTACTAATTTAATAGTGACGTTTACGTAAAAGTTTTAGGGTTCTGGACTGATCCTGCAAATCCCAAAATACGCAAACCAAAGCCCGTCTTATTCTCAAAACCCTATACCCCGAAATTTTTGAGTCCTCAAAAGCCACAACTCCTAACCCTAAGCCAAGCAGGTGCACCGCTTGAAGCTTCCTTTGGCAAACAGCAGTAAGGTGACAAGCACATCAAACAACGTTGAACATAAACAAATCGTTCAAAGTTCTAGAAAGAGCATGCGTAGGGTTTTGAGAAGCCCTCAATCTCAACTTGTATCTACAGCTCCCCTAGCTACTAAGTCCCCTCATCCTCGACGGTGTGCCTGAGCGGGCGGTGGTCGGGCGGCAGCCGTGAGCTGTTCCGACAAGTCTTGTGCCTCGCAGCATGGAGGCTTTTGGCTTTTGTGAATTTTGGACTGGGTTCGGCGTTGGGCTCTAGAGTGTCCCAAAAGGGCTCTTTAGCGTTGCATGGGGTTTATAGGGGTCGTTGAAGGCTTTTGATGCTAGTGTCCCCAAAGGGAAACCTACATGTACGCCGATCAAACCCTGATGCACACGCTACGTCACACTGGTGCCCTAGAGGAGACAGGCCTTAGAAGGGTTCACAGGGTCTGCAAGGTGGCGAAAACCCGAAGATGCAGTCTCACAAGACTCAAGCTAACCCCTGAACCCTGAAAGCTATGCCCCCAACCCAAAGCCCATGCGAAGCCCTCTTTGATAACTAGCAATACTATGTTTTTCGGTTTTCTTCTTATAGGTTAAGTAAGTATGCTCATCACGAAGGCTCCCAAACTGGGGGGGTCACCTAGGGCCTGACAATCCTAAAGCCATGGTTTGCTGTCTTTGAATTCGGGTTGAACGTGTTGGGTCTGGATTTTGTTGAGGGCTCAGGGTTTCAAGGCTCGCTGCAACTTGCACGGCTAAGGGTGAAGCTGATTCAGGGATTCAGAATTTCGTGTCTCACACTAGCTATCGGCATTGAGTTCAACAGTTGACAGCAACTCTCTAAAGTAACCGTTGCAAAGACTCTTACAGGAACCCTGAAACCTCTGCAGCGCGCCTCTTCTTGGGAGGCGGCAGACTCCGAGTCCTCCCTCGCAGATCCATCCTCCATGCGTCTCCGAGTATGCTTCCGGAATTTTCGTTGAGGGTTTTAGAGTCTTAGATTCCAAATTCTAAAACCCTCAACCCGTAACACTAAACAAACAATTCTACGCCCCAATACCGTAAGCTTCAGGCAGGTTGGGCTCAGAGTCTTACCCATAGGTTGGGTGGGGGCTTAGGGATGCGGGTCTTGGGGTGCGAGTTGTATGTCTGACGGTCGAGGGGATAGCTAGGCTTCGGGGTTCAGGCTTGAGGGTTCTGGGGTTCAGAGCTCGTTGAGGGTCTCACCTAGGGTCGATCCTAGACCCCTGACGCCTTCAAGCCTACATGGTCCCACATGTTTAGAATCATATCTGAAGCCTGCGGAAGCGGGAGCTCTTTCCTCAACCCCCAAGTGCTAGAGCGCTGAAATCCCAAACCTCAGCACCTGAGACAAGGGCCCCCGAACGTCCTTGCAGGCCTCAGCCGGAGGCTCGGGAGACGTGGGTCGGAAATCCGCCACGACATCTTCGACCTGCTCAAAGCTCGATGTGTCGGGTTGGATGGGGGTTAGGGTTTAGGTTTCGGGGTGTGTGTTTGTGGTTTTGCTTTGAGTTTCATGGTGCTGCAGCTACCATGGCTGGCAACACGAATTCAGATACCTGCCGTCATATTTATACATGACTTCAAGGGGTCGTACTTGCGAATCGCCCGTACTAATTTAATAGTGACGTTTACGTAAAAGTCTTAGGGTTCTGGACTGATCCTGCAAATCCCAAAATACGCAAACCAAAGCCCGTCTTATTCTCAAAACCCTATACCCCGAAATTTTTGAGTCCTCAGAAGCCACAGCTCCTAACCCTAATCCCAGCAGGTGCACCGCTTGAAGCTTCCTTTGGCAAACAGCAGTAAGGTGACAAGTACATCAAACAACGGTTGAACATAATAACATCGTTCAAAGTTCTAGAAAGAGCATGCGTAGGGTTTTGAGAAGCCCTCAATCTCAACTTGTATCTACAGTCTACAGCTCCCCTAGCTACTAAGTCCCCTCATGCTCGACGGTGTGCCTGAGCGGGTGGTGGTCGGACGGCAGCCGTCCGCTGTTCCGACAAATCTTGTGCCTCGCAGAATGGAGGCTGTTGTGAATTTTGGATCGGCGTTGGGCTCTCGAGTGTCTTAAATGGGCTCTCTAGTGTTGCATGGGGTTTATAGGGGTCGTTGAAGGCTTTCGATGCTAGTGTCCCCAAAGGGAAACCTCATGTACGCTCATCAAACTCCTGATGCATGCGCCACGTCACACTGGTGCCCTGGAGGAGACAGGCCTTAGAAGGGTTCACCAGGGTCTGCAAGGTGACGAAAACCCGACGATGCAGTCTCGCAAGACCTAAGCTAACCCCTGAACCCTGAAAGCTAAGCCACAAAACTTATGCGAAGCCCTCTTTGATAACTAGCAATACTATGTTTTTTTCGGTTTTCTTCTTATAAGTTTAGTATGCTCATCACGAAGGCTCCCAAACTGGGGGGGTCACCTAGGGCCTGACAATCCTAAAGCCATGGTTTGCTGTCTTTGAATTCGGGTTGAACGTGTTGGGTCTGGATTTTGTTGAGGGCTCAGGGTTTCAAGGCTCGCTGCAACTTGCACGGCTAAGGGTGAAGCTGATTTAGGGATTCAGGATTTCGTGTCCACACTAGCTATAGGCATTGAGTTCAACAGTTGACAGCAACTCTCTTCAGTAACCGTTGCAAAGACTCTTACAGGAACCCTAAAACCTCTGCAGCGCGCCTCTTCTTGGGAGGCGGCAGACTCCGAGTCCTCCCTCGCAGATCCATCCTCCATGGGCATTGGGGGTCTTAGAGCCTTAGATCCCCAAATTCTAAAGCCTTCAACCATATTACTAAACCCAAAGTCTACGCCCCCAATGCAGTTTGGGTTGAGGGATGCTGGTCTTGGGGTGCGGGCTTTATGTCTGAGGGTCGAGAGGATAGTTCGGCTTCGGGGTTCAGGCTGGAGGGTTCTAGGGTTCAAGGTTCAGAACTCGTCAAGGGTCTGACTCAGGGTCCATCCACTTTTAAATGGCCATGTACAGCTTCATACCAAAACCTTAGCACCGAAAGCCTACGAGCAAGCCCTTGAAGCCTACATGGTCCCGCATGTATATAATCGTATCTGAAGCCTGCGGAAGCGGGAGCTCTTTCCTCAGGCCTGTAGTCACTGTAGTCCTAGAGCGCCTACTAGAGCGCTGAAATCGTAAACCTTAACTGGAGCCTTAGATGAGGGCCCCCCAAACGTCTTTGCAGGCCTCAGCCGGAGGCTCGGCAGATGTGGGTCGGAAATCCGCCACGACGTCTTCCACCTGCTCGAAGCTCGCACTAGGGCTCAGGGTCTGTGGTTGCGTCTGTGGTGTTGCTTAGTTTCATGGTGCTGCAGCTAACATGACTCGCAAGTTGAATTGAGGTATCTGTAGTCTTACTTATACACTGGCTTCAAGGATCGCACTTACGAATAGCCTTTACTCGCTCTGCTAAGCCTTGAATCCTAACCCCTACGCCTCAGGCTTCATTACGGTAGATGACGCCCGCGCGAAACTCTCAAACGACGGACTCGAGTTTAGGGGCATTGGAATTTAAGCAAGGATATGACACTGATACTCACAGAGTCATCCTCCTCGTGCAGCACATCTAGCCAATCATAAGCCTCCTCCTCGTCCTCGTCCTCGCTGTAATTCGTTTTTCTGAAGCATTTTTCTTTCCGGAATTGGTCTTCCGCGCCCTACACAGCAGTCCTAAAGCGCTGTACTCCTAAACCTTTGAAGCCAAAGCAGATACCGATCGGGGGCAACATGATGAGAATAGGGCCTTGGGGTATACTGTACCATAACTATAATAAGCACTATCTTAGCATCTTAAATCCTTAGATTCCAAAAGGTCCCAGAGACCGTCCTTGCAGGCCTCAGCCGGAGGCTCGGGAGACGTGGGTCGGAAATCGGCCCCGACGTCTTCGACCTGCTCGAAGCCCGGCGCTTGTCGATTGGGGTTTGGCGCGTGGGCTTGTGCTTGGAGGTTCATGGGTAGTTATAAGGGTTCTTTTAAGGCATCTATAGGGATTCTATAAGGGGTATAGGGTCTAGGGCCTATAAGTGTCGCTTGGAGTTCCATGTTTCTGCAGCTACAACGACTCGCAACACGAAGTACGTAAGTTATCTGTAGTCTGACTTGTACATGACTTGAAATGTCGTACTTAGGAATAGCCTTTACTCACTTAGGGATGAGGTTTAAGGATTTTCGGGTGGTGGGGTTCAGGGTCCGGTCCCTCCAGATCCCAAACTGCGCAAACCCGAACCGAACTCTTCTTATTCTTGAAACTCCGGGCCCCTAAACCTGAGCAATACTTCCGTAAACCTAAGCCATAGCTCCTGAGCCATCAAAAGCCAAGACGCGTGGAGGTGTTCTATTCAGGGTTCAGGGTCTCAAGGCTCGCTGCAACTTCCCGTAGGCTTGGGGTGTGAACCCTAAAGCCTAAACCCTAGGGTGTAAACCCATATTCTTGGGTTCACGGTTCAGAGGTTATTGTTTGAGAGCTTCCAGGTGCAGGCTTGATCCGCTTCTGGATAACCATGCACAGCTCCATACGTCAACCTTCACACCTCAGGCCGAAGCCCTTGAGACCTACATGGTCCCACAATGCATAGCTTCATATCTGAAGCCTACGGAAGCAGGAGCTCATTCGATGATACAGCCGCCTTAGGCCTCAAGCCCGTAGGTCCCAGAGCGCTCCCAAAGCACTGAACTAAACCTTAGGGAACCTTACATTCCTGAAAAGAGAGGCACACCAAACCGTCCTTGCAGGCCTCTGCCGGAGGCTCAGGAGACGCGGGTTGGATATCTGCCTCGACGTCTTCGACCTGCTGGAAGCTCGATGCTTGTCGGTGTGGTCATATTATAGGGCTACCATGACTCGCAACCCGAAATGAGGTACCTGTAATCTTATGGTACCCCGGTTGTGTTAACATGGGAAATAACAAATAGTGGAATGATTTTGAGATCGCAGGTGGAATCCTGCTACTCAGGCAATCAAACGAGCAATGGGGAAAACCCACTCACATCAAAATGGCTTCTTTCTCACGTGTTCTCACGTTTTTCGATTGGGTTCGGTGTCTGATGTCCTTCCAGGTCCAGGAGATCTGAAATCCAGACATTTGCAAAAACACCGAAGCATTTGGACAACAACCGCCGGAAAATTGACAACTTTGGACAATCATCGAAATAGTATAAATATTACACGCTTGCTGATTCTATGCTCATGCAGTTAACATGTTACTCTCATGTTCTTCCATTGGGTTCGGTGTCTGATGTCCCTCCAGGTCCCGTAGAACTGAAATATCGAAATTTGCAAAACACCGAAACATGTGGAACACAACTGGAAACAGTACTTAACAAATTTGATACACTAACTGGAAGTAGTGCAAATCTTGCCTCCTTGCTGATTCCATGCTCATGCGGTTCTCATTGGTTTCGCATTGTATTTCCGTTTACTTTCATTGGGTTCGGTGTCTGCTGTCTCTTGAGATCCAATAGATCTCGAATGCAGGAATTTGCACAACCACCGAAGCATCTGGAAAAAACTGGAAAACTACTGACTGAACGACTTTGGCAGAATAGTGAAACTAATTATTGAAACAGACGGGGAAAGTTGTGGAGAATGTCCACACAAGCTGGAACAGACTTTCCACGTCCTGCTCTTGCTGATCCTATGCTCAGGCGGTTCTTATTTGACTGCCCTTTGCTTTTGATTAGTGTTCCATGCTGCTTTTGATGTTGTTTCTTTCCCTGGGAAGGTCATGGACATCTGGGTCTAAATATTCAAAGGTGTCGTACTTACGAAAAGCTTTGATATGTAGTGATGATGTTTAAGGATTTTCGGGTGGTGGGGTTCAGGGTCTGATCCCAAAAAACTCAAACTACGCAAACCGGAACCCGAATTATTCTTGGAACTCTGGACCCCTAAACCTAAGCCATACTTCCCTAAATCTCAGCCATAATTCCTAAGTCCTCAAAACCAAACCTAAACCTTCCTAAACCAAAGCCGTAACTCCTAAGTCCTCAACAGCCAGAACGCCCGAACCCAAAGCCCTGCACCCAGTTGCGGTTTCAAGGCAGGCCCAGGTGCGCTGCTTGAAGATTTACTGGCAAACAAAAATTTGAGCTTCCAGGTACCTCAAACACTGGTCAATACTAACCATATTTTTCGACACTTTAGAAAGATGAGGTTTTCCCAAGATTACCGAGTTTTCCTGGCTTTTCTAAGATGCCCTCAATGTACTTTGCTGACTGGACTTTCTAGGTCCCCTCAACCTCCACGCGCTGTGCCTGAGCGGGCGGTGGTCGGGCGGCGCTCGTGAGCTGTTCCAACAAGTCTTGTGCCTTGAAGAAGGGAGGCTTCTGGCTTTTCTAACCAGTGGTTTCGGGGTTCCCTTGGCTCTTTAGCTCCTTATGTAATGGGGATTATCATCATCCCTGGCTCCTTGGCTCCCCCAATATCAATGGCTAGTTTTTCAGTGATTGACGAGATTCAGCGTTGGGGCCCTAGAACTTGTTGAAAGGACTCTCTGCTTTTTCAGTGAGGCTTCAAGGGATCGTTGAAGGTCTCCGATGTTAGTGTCCCCATCGGAAAACCCACACATACCCTCCACAAGCCCTCATGCCAAAACTCAACCCTAAACTGGCTCTAGGTAACAAAAGGCTGTTCAATTCAACAAGGCTCCTGCGTTGGGCCACTTGGGACCGCGAACTCCTTAAGCTTTAGTTTGCGGAGTTTTACTTCCAGTTCAAGGTCTGCTTGGAGGGGTTTAGGGGCAGTTATGAGTAAGGTTGTAAGTAGGGTAACTCTAACAATAACCCATAGTTCGGGTCTTATAGCATCACCACTTGTAACTACCCATGAACCTCCACGTGTTGAGGGTCCAGGTAGGGCTTCCATAGGATTTTGGCACTCTGTTTAGGGCTTAAGCTTTCGGCGTTCAGGAGTCACACGAACTCTGAACTACAACCACATTTAAAACCATGAAGCACTTCGTAGCCCACGACGCTGAAGCCTTAGGGCCCTCCGCCCTGAAGCCCGTGTAAAGAAGCCCTCGAGCCTTAAGCTGCATATTGGGCTGAGCTTCAGGATGTCAATGTGAAAGTTTCACAAAAGAAAGCAATTCTGCATAGACCCTCAGTCGTAGGGAATAGAGTACCAGTACCCCTGCTCTTAAGAACCTTCCCAGCAACTTCAGATCTCGCATGCTGCGAGGGCGCAGCGGCAGTGCCACAGAGTCCAGGTTTTCACAAACGTTTGATCTGGAGATGCATCGTCCTGCGTGCTTCTTCAGCAACACCCCGCAAGTCGCAAGTCGGTCCCAGTGGACGAGAGGGACTGCCTTTCGACCACCCGCGAAGCGGAGATGGAAGTGCCCAACAGCTTCAAGATCAGTGAATAACATTGAATAACCTTGAGGACAGAAGCTGTTGCGAACTTCCTGCTTCACAACTACATGGTCCGGGGCTGTTGTTGGGTCTTTGCTTTTTTAGGTCAACTTTAATACAGCTTTCGAGTACACAGATTTCATGGCTTCATGCAGAGATAGCAGCAGCGTTTCCTACACCATTAACCTGAGCCTGAACTCGACAGCAGAAGTTCAGCATACCCAACTAACTTGATGCTCATGCCCTGATGCTCTAAGCCTGAACCGGGCTTGTTTAAGTTAGGGGATTACTTAGTTGCTGAGTTCATAAGCCCCCAAAAGTGCACACTTTCAGTTTTATAGTGGGTAGTATTATTCCAAAAAGTGTAAAGTGTATCCACTCAGCTACGAAGGATTAGGCGCTGTTGAAGGTTTGAAGTAGAGGTGTAGGATTATGGGTCTAGGGGTTTGCGGCTTGGGTTTCAGGACGCAAACGACGGTATGGGGCTTGATTAGAGAGGCCGCATTGATGTGAGATCAGGCGATTCAACCAAGAACAAACACAAAGATCCAGAGCCTAATGCCAAAGCGTTAACCCTCAATCTCGAAACCCCCCACATCCCTCAACCCCCAAACCATCAATCATCAAATCCCTGAACCCCTGGACCCTAACCTAAACCTTAAACAGTTTGAGGATGCCTATTCGGCTGGGCCTGCTAAGCCCCAACTTCCAGAAGCTCATTTGGCATAAGGAGGCGCGAACTTCAGACTTCAACACACCGTAAACCATAATCTACAATATCGAAAAGCCCCTAAAGCCCAAACTCTCAGAATCCACCCCCTTCAAGCCCAAAATTTTCACCAGCGGCCTCTTTGCAGAAGCTCTGGCTTGTCGTGAGCTGTGAGAGCAAACCTTGGCCGGCTGCCTAAACCCTAAACCTGCTCGTTGGAAAGTAAAGTCCAACAAGGGCTTCATAGGGTTTTTTCAAGGGCTTCGTTGTTTTAAATGGCTTTGCAAGGCTTTCGGATTTCTCTGTGTGGTTTAACCGAGTTGGATAAGGGTTTTACATTCCAAACGGCTTTATACGTGTTTTGTGGCTTTCAAAGAGCTCTACTTGGAGGTTCATGGAGATTTATAAGTGGAGATATAGTATTGAGGTCCTAATATATCTGTATTATGAATATCATCCAACTGTCACTGAGTGGGGGGGCAGTACCCAACCCCATAGTCCTAGAATCTGTCAGGCGCCCCGTCTCGATCCTGACTCCCAAAATCTTACAACCCCAAAGCAAGTTGAAGTCCCCTTAAGTATCGGAAGTTCCGATAATTTACTATTCCTAAACCCTAAACGTTGAACCCTAAACAGTAAACCCTAGATCCTAAGCCCTAATCTACATGCTAAATCTCAAACTCGACATGTTAACCCCCACATGGGTAGTTCTCTAAACCAAGGGTCCCTTTTTACATCCCCCAAATCGTTTAGGCTTTAGGGTTTATGGTTGAGGGCTAGGGTTGAGGGTTGCCTCAGGGTATGGAAAGGACCATGACCCTAGCTTAGAGAAATACTCTTATAGTACCCCATATAGAGACCCTTACAGATCCTTTCAAGCAATCCTGAAACTAGCCACATGCTAAACCCTAAACTGATACAACCTTAATCCTAGACACTGAAACCTTCCTCAACCCCACACTTTAAACCCCTCATCCTAAACCCTTAAACTAAATCCCAAACCCTACACTTTGAACCTAAACCCTAACCCTGCGCTGTGAACCCCTCATCCTAAACCCTAAAACCTGAACCCTAAACCCTTCATCCTAAATCCTAAACCCGACACTCTAAAACCCAAAACCCTACGCTTCTGACCCCGCATCCTAAACCCCCCGAAGGCAGGACCTCCTGAGCTGGGTCTCGATGCCAAATGTTCCTGTTGTCGCAGAGAGCATCTCACATTATGCTATTATAATAGATCATACTATATGTATGATAGTATGTTATGGTATATTGTGGTGTCTGTCTTTTAACTTATATCTTGATTCTATGTTCTCGATTTTTTTGGAGGGGTGGGCAGGGTCTCCCGTGACGCTCCACCCTTACCTTGGCAGTTTCCGAGACAACTCAGTTGCAGTGATGCATTCCTCGTCGCAAGGCTGTGACGATGGTAAAGGCCACGTCGCTAAATCCGTCTCGAAGCGAGGACCGTCAGAGACGATCTCGTGTCAAGCGGACAGGAAGGCACCGGGGCTTCCGCAACGGGTGGATGCCAGGCTCTTGACCCGAGCCAGATCGCGCTCCGTCCGTGTGGAGCCCGGCATGCCGGACTTGTAGATGGCCACCTTGCCTTTGGATCGAGGCCGTTAGGACACAAGGAAAGACCTGGTTTCAACAGATATAGGTTCAGGGCTTACATTTCGGGGTTTAGATAGCAATAGTGGCAGTAGCACAGCCATTGCTACGCATGACACTACCACGTCTGGAGGCTAGCGATTTGGTTTTGCGGTCTGGGGGATGTTGGAGTCCGAACCCCAAGCTGCCCTAAACCCCGAAAGCTCTAAAGAGCCGCAACACCTACTAAATGCATTCAACCCGATTTTCGCCGGAAGCAGATGCCCCAAAACCTCAAGACGAAACGCTCTAACTCGCAAAATGCCTCAACACCATCAAAAGCTCCTAAGAGAACACACCCGAACCTAGAACCCTCATCATGAGCCTCTGAAACCATAACAAAAACGAATCGTTGAACCCCGAATCCCTAAACACCAAAACTTGAACCTGAAGCCCGAATCCCTAAACCCTCGTCCCCCAAACCCTACGCCCTAATCCCTAATCCCGGAACCCTAAATCGCAATTCCTCATCCCGAAACCCCAATCCTTATATTACCTCCTCATGGGTACCCGTACAGGAGTCGTTCTAGGTCCCTTTCAAAGAACCCTAAACAAACAAACCCCTAGCCTCCTCCAATACGTGTTGAACTTAAAGGCACCTTCCTTAAAACCCACCTTAACTTGCCCTATAAAAACTCCAAGTAATCCCTACACCTTAATCCCGAAACCCTACACCCCAGCCTTGAATCCCTAGACCCTAATCCCTGGCCCTAAACCCTATAGTACGTTTATAGATCCCTCATAGGAGCCCTTGCAGGCTCCTTGAAAGGAACCCTACTTAGAGGCCCAGGAGACTTAGTAGTTAGGTTATAAGTAGAGGTATAAGTACCCTAAATGGAGTTACCCCAAAATAACCGTGCTTATAACTGACTTACTAAGTCCCCCGGGCCTCCAAGCAAAGCCGAATCCCAAAACCGGAGCCAAGCGCAACCATAAACCCAAAACCCCTAATCCCTAAACCCCTAACCCCTAAACCCCTAATCTCTAAACCCCTAACCCCTAAACCCTAAATCCTAAGCCTAATCCCAAAACCGAAGCCAAGCGCAACTCCTCTGCCAAGCGTGGCGTCGCCCATTCGTCGGCCTCGGGGCCATCCTGTGGCGTCTTCTTCTTCTCCGGGTGAGTTTGGGGGTTTACGGGTTTACGGCCTTGAGAGTCTGGGAGTCTAGGGTCTAGGGGTTTAGGGACCAGGGTTTCGGGTTAGGGTTTTCGGGATTATATAAGGTTTAGGGATCAAGGTTTGGGGTTGAGGGTCCTGTGGTGTGTTCTTGCCCGTTTTTCTCCAAAGGTCTCATACGGAGTTTTGTAAGGGTGAGGGTGCAGGATCTTCTGTGCCGGCAAGAACGATCTTCTTTGGCACTTGTCTTGCAGAGCGTTTAGATAGCGCACACAGACAGAGGGGCTTCCGACAGTTTCCTCGAGAATCTTTCACAGGATTCTCAGAGATTTCCTCAGGGTGTTTATAGGGGTCCATGTGCCAGTACAGGGCTTGGCTGACTTCTGAACCCCTGCTAAAAGTTAAACTTTTAGCCTCCTTATTATGATTCAAACAGAAACCCAAAAAGTTAAAGTCTAAAGAGCCAACCAGAAGAACGCCAAGAGGGTGTTGGGTTTGTTATGTTGATACTCCACTGGGGTTGATAGTTCTTGCGTCTAGGGTCCGAGAGTTTGTTGCGCAAGGTTGCTATCAACAAACTGGCTTAGAATCAGGATCCTACGATTTAGGGTTCTTCCCTGGCTTGCTTAGAAGGTAGCAAAGTTGCCTTTGCTCGAGATCCCTATACAAGAAGCCACAGCCCAATACAGCAAAAGTAAAGAAGCAACCAACCAAACCGCACACCCTAAACCCTAAACCGTCGCCTTATAGCTATTTCTTCTGGAACTCCCATTGCTCATGTGTCCTTTCCAAACGCCGATGAAACCCTGATCGAAGCTTCCATGACATGCTTCATGTTGGTTGAAAGGTGTAGACCTCAGGTGTAAGGGTGTTCAGACGCAGTTTTCCGTTCTGGGCTTCAAGTCTAAGCTTCGGGGCCTATACTCACTTAAATTCAGGTTGCGATGCAATGCCACTTGTGTGAGCTGCAACGGAACATTAATCGCAGCAGTTCCATCGCCAACCCCAAGCCCTCAAACCTGCATCTGCTAAGCTCCAAACCCGAATCTTTGCGCTAAGGCCTCAGCTTCTGCAAGACTAAGAGCCACACACACACAGCCCCACACCAATGATGCGAAACCATAACATGCTAATCTTGAGCCCCAAAACTTAAACCGACATCCCAACCCTCCCCAAATCAAAAACAATGATGGGCACGTTAGTTCAACCGTCAGCATTGGCAAAGATTCAGGGCCAGTGCTAGCCGAGAATGTCTCGAACTGGTAGGTCCCGTTTGTCTCAAGACGGATCTTGACGCTCCTCTTCTTCATGGTCGCCCTGTTGACAGGGTTGCACGTCTGCACAGCTGCAAGGTCTCTTGACTTCCAGTTGCAGTGCCAAGCTGTTGCAAGAGCTGCTGTACTTCAGAGGCACGGTCCTCGATCTGTGCGGGATACATACTTGGAGGGTCGGGGGACTTAGTAAGTAGGTAGTAAGTAGACTTATAAGTACCCTAAAAGGGACCCTATTTGGGGTTATGGTACTTATATGTCCCTAAATTAACCAGTTACTAAGTCCCCCGACCCTCCAAGAGGACATCTTAGAAAGGTGGCCTTCCGCGACTTTAGCCCCCGGGGGCCAACTTGACGTGTCCGGCTTCACTACACCTTACACCCCAAACCATTAACCATTCATCCAAAAAACGCTTAGCTAACACTAACACTAAATCCTTAACCCTTAATCCTAAACTCTAAACCTAACAGCCTCTCAACCTCTAAACCCGTATTAGTATACACAAAGAACCTGTAAACCTACAAGCCCGAAACCATACACTCCAAACCTCGAGTCCGTGAACCCTAAACTCTAAACCTATAAACCTACTAAACCTACCAGCCCTTAACCCTAAACCCGCAAATTTACAGCCAACAAAAACCCTAAGCCCTAAACCCTAGGCCCCAAAAGCCCATAAAAGGCCCTATTACCCTAAGCCTAAACCCTAAGCCCAAAGGCCCATAAAGGGACCTAAGCCCCAGCAGGTAAGCAGTTGTAGCCTGGCCTCACTGGCCTCCAGGGCGCACGGCCTGAGGATCAGACGTGGAGCAACGCGGGGATTCAGGGGTTCCTTCAATCAAAGGGGAAAAGGAGGGACCCTTAATAAGGACCCCCAGGTACATACCCTTAATATAGCTATTCTATACCCATTATATAGCCCATTATAGGGTAGGGGTCCCCATTAAGGGTCCCTCCTTTTCCCTTTGATTTAAAGGAGCCCGGTTTAGGGTTTAGGTGTTTAGGGGCTACGAGGGATCTACAAGGGTTTGGGGCTTAGAGCGTAGGGTTTCTTTGAAGGAACCGATAAGTGTATAGGGGATCTAGAAGGGTTTGGGGCAAAGAGTTCAGGGTTTCTTTAATGAAGGAACCGATAAGTGTACAAGGGATCTGTAAGGGTTTGGGGCTTAGAGTTCAGGGTTTCTTTAAAGGAGCCGATAAGGGATCTATAAGGTGTTCGGGTTTGGAGTTTAGACTTTAAGGTTCCTTGATTGGAGCTTAAAGGGATCTGTAAGGGTACCGTACGATTTAGGATAAAGAGTTTAGGGCTCTTTTAACGGAGCCTCGAAGGGATCCTATAAGGGATCCATACGGGTACTGTAGGGCTTGGGGTCTAGAGTTTAGTGTTCTTTTCGCGGCACCTAGAAGGGATCCTCGAAGGGATCTATAAGGGTACCTTAGGGCTTCGGGGTTCCTTTATGTAAAGGATCTCGAAGGGCTCATATAAAGGATCTCAAAGCAACTGTCTAATGGTTCCTTTCAAGGAAGTATAAGGGCTCCTAGAAGGGGTCTGTAAGGGTACTATATATGGTTCGGGGTTTAGAGTTTAGGGTTTGGGGGTTTAAGGCTGAGGGTTTACGGATAAAGGCGGGTTGAAGGGACTCTGGCTCCGTTTTAAAGGTTCGTAGACGGGCGACCATCAGGGTTTCTTAAGGGTTCCCTCTAGAGTTCGTGTAAGGGTTAGTACGGCAACGACATACGAAAGGTCTATATGGGTGACTATAAGGGCGATGATCAGGGTAACGGTATGGGTTGTGATGAGCTAAGATATGATGTCCTGATTCCGATAACATACTGCTGCCAAGCTCTGGGACAGGTAGGACGGAGTTGTGGTTTGGACATTGAAGCTGAGCGTGCATCGGCAAGTTCGCAACAAACATTTGCAAAAGTAGCAGTTCAAGCTTAGCAGTATCAAGAACACCACCTGCAACAGCAACAGCAGCGTGCCCATCGTCCAGACTACTTAAACTATGGACGCAGCCAGGCGACCTGTCATCTCGTGTCAGAACATCACATCAATGGCCAAAGCTGCGATAACGACGACAACAACAACCACTCAACTAGTGCGGTGCTGCAGGTGCTGCGACTCCGACTCCCACTCCCGTTCCGATTCCGACTCCTAGTACGACGAAGACGACCACAACGACGACGCCGACTACTGCCATCAGTACTACGAATTTGGCTACTCAGTGCCTCCTCCTACTGCTCCCTCCTCCTCCTCCTCCTCCTCCTCTTCCTGGTCCTCCTTCAACTCCTCCTGCTGCCACGAAGACGACAACGACGACTGCTTCCGGCTGTTCGCAGCAGCGTGCTCCTCATCACCGCCAGCTCAACAGCAACTTCTAAGTAGAGGGAGGTGAAACCAACTGGAGAGGAGTGCCTAAACCCTAAACCCCACCCCTAAACCCGAAACCACAAACCCCTATACTCTGAAACCCCAACCCCCAAACCCCCCCGTAAACCCTAAACGGGAGAGCGGTGGCTAAGGCCCCGGCGAGGAAGAGCTGCGGCTTGACTGAGGTCGCGGATGTGATGCTACAGCCTCCAGAATGTCACAGGACTGACCTACAAGTGATGCAACTCCTGCACCTTAGACCCGATTCCGCGGAGGCTCTACACAGCTGAAAGCTAGAGATCTCAACAAAAATCCAGAGACTCCAAAGCCCCTTCATTAAGGATTATTAGGGTTCCTGTTATAGGTATATTCCTTGATTAAAAGGTTTGGGAGTGTCTAGGAAGCTTCGGTATCCCAGACCTCCGGGGTTTTAGAGATGGTTTCTCATGCACTTGGAGAGTAGGGAGGCCTCAGAACAGGGCTGGTAAGACGTCGGTTTGTCGATTTAGGATTTCGACCATTTTTTGAAGCTGCAGCGCATGGGGGACACAGAGATTCGGTTTGGGATTTCTGAGTCGCCGTGGGGATTTAGTTCATTCTTCAGACCTTGCATTGACAAACCTTGTGCAAAAACCCCTAATCCCCCAAACCCCACACCTTAAAACCCCTGGTATAGGGGATAGGGTTCTGGGGTACATTCTTTTGGCATCCCTTTACTGGCTTCCCAAATACCCATGACTATACTGAACTTAGAACCCTAGCAAAAATATTATTTTAGCTGTTTCTTAGGGATTATAATAACAAAAAATTTAAGTTATTTCTAAGTACCCCTAAAATGAAATAAAAAGCTCAAACTCTCAGATCAATGATCAAGACTACATTGTAAGAGCCCCAAAATGTTGAACAGCTGGGTTTTCGAGCACTAGGTACAATGAACCCTGATAGTGATCCGACGGAATATCAAAACCATAAACCTAACCGCTAAACCCTCACCGCTAAACCCCTAAACCCTAAACCCCTATCCCCTTAACCCCCAAACCCTGAACCCCTAAACCCTAAACCCTCACCCCTAAACCCCTAACCCCTAAACCCCAAACCCTAATCTAAACCCTAAAGCCCTAAACCCTAAACCCCCAAAACCCACGCAAGGGGGGCCTCCTCGCTTCGAACCTCAAGCTCGCTTTCAGAAGAAGCGGCCCGAGGCCTCCGAAACGAAGGCTTTAGATTAGGTAAGGAGATCATAATAAGGAACCCTGAAAAAGGTAGGTTATTCAGGGTTAAGGGAACCCTAAACCCTAAACCCTAAACCCTCAACCGTGGTTAAGGGAAGCTTTGTAAATTCCTGGTCGATGTTAGGCTCTTAAAGGTTTATAGGTTTCAGGGCTTAGGGTGCAAGAGTTTAGCAATTTATCTTAGGCACTGACCCCATACAGTAAGAGTCTAGGGTTTAGGATTCCTTTAAGGGTTTAGGGTTTAGGGTAATAGGGGGTATAGGTTGGGTAGTAACAGTCTATGATATGGCTACTATAAGGACCTAATATATCTATATTATGAATATTATTCAACTATTACTGAGTGGGGGCCGTACCCAAGGTTTAGAGCCGATAAGTCTGGCTTTTCAGGGTTCAGGGTTCGGGTTTAAGATCCTAAACCCTACACCCCTAGTTGAAGCCCTAAGCCCAAAATCCTTAACCCTCTAAAGTAGCAGGGTGATTAGTAGGGATGAGGGGCTTACGGCCCTAGGGCTCTGGTTTAGGGAGCTTCAAGGGTTTGTACGGTCAGGGCACGAAAAGTACTCCACTGGGTGATTATGCCGCTTGCGATTGAGTCTACTTGGAGGCTCATGGGTAGTTATGAGTGGGCTTATAAGCAAGGTAACTAAAATCATGACCCCTTTTACGGGACTTGCAACCCCGCTTATCACCACCTGTGAACCTCCACGTAGGGCTTAGGGTAGGGTTTGGAAGAATGAGTTGAGGCTGTGCGATTCAGGGTTGAATCCCTGTTCCCTAAAACTCCAAGCCCTTAACCCTAAACTCTAAACCCTAAAGCTCTGACCACATAACGCCTCATTCAGACCGAACCCGCTTAACCCTAAACCTTTTTAAACCTGGACCCGCACACCCCCAAACCCAAAATGGCTGAAGATTTTGACGCCGTGAGGTTCCAGTAAGCCCCAATATAGAGCTAAACTACATAATAATACGATTTTGGTGGCTCCGAAGAAATAAGTATAGTATAATGGACCCCAAAACCCTAGTCTAATGAATTATTAAGGCCCCCTATCTTACCCCAAGAGCTTAGGGTTTACAAAACCTAACCACTGCGCCAGGCAAATACATAGTCGATGTAATAGTTGGGAGGTGAAACTAAATTCAAAAGGAACCAATGTGGCCTTCCTTCCCTCCCTTCGGAATGAAGAAGAAGTCATGCTCCCTAATTCGTTCGTGAATTCGTCGGAGTTGCCTGCCAAAATGCCTTTGCTGATTCCTTCAAATGCCCACCGTTTCCCTGCAGAGCGGCCACCCTTGTTTGTGGCTGCTGAGCCTCGAGCAAAGCCATTGCCCAAAACCCCACATCCCGAGACTCTGAAACCACTCAACCCCTAAATCGAAAACCATTGAAACCCCTATACCCCAAACCCCTAAAGCCCTTACCCTAGACCCCTAACCCCTCGGGACCAGATCTCAGAGTTTCAGCTTACCCAGACCCCCGGGAGGATCCAAAAAGTAGATCCCTTACTGGGGGTTCTCTTTATAGGGAGTCTATAAGGGTTACTTTAAGGGGTTTTGAGGGGGGTTTAGTATAGGGGCCTTAATAACTAGAATAGGGGTTCCTTTAAGGGGTTCCTATAAAGTACCCTTAGTAGTATAGGGCCCCAAATTGGGGATCTACTTCCTAGATCCTCCCGGAATCCTGGGTAGGTCCGAATCTGAGGGCTGCACCTATCCGAGGCTTGTCTGGATACCTGCCGGATCAGGGTTCAAGGAACCCAGAAGCCCTAGAGGGCTTACGGTTTAGAGATTTAGGGTTTAGGGACACTGAACCCTAAAGCCCACACCGAAACCAGAAAATGGAGCCCCAGGGACCGGGTTTTGCTGATCAGGGTGTTAGGGTTTCCGGTTTAGGGTCTACTACTTGGTCGGGGGACTTAGTAAGTAGGTAGTAAGTAGACTTATAAGTACCCTAAAAGGGACCCTTATTGGGGTTATGGTACTTATAAGTCCCTGAAATAACCAATTACTAAGTCCCCCGACCCTCCAAGTAGGCCAACCCAATCTGGTGTGATGCTGCAAAAACAGAAAGCCGAGCGTCGCTTCCCTGAGTGCATCTCTCCGAGAAACCCTCAGCCCTATACTGTATGTTCTGTCATTCAAGTTAAGGGTTCAGGGTGTCGAAAAGCTCGCGCAAACTTAAACCCGAACAACCCTACGTCCTTAACCCAGCTGTCCTAACTGTTTCACAAAGTCTGAGACAGGGCTCACCTGAGGAGCATTGTGTCGAGACGTTAGGATTTCCCTATTCCGATTCTGCAGTCCCATTTATCCCTGAAGCGTCTCACAGGAGAGCCGATGCCATTGAGCTTTAACAAACTCAGTTTTAGCATCAAGGCATTTACCCTAAACCCTGAAACGAACTAACCCTCAGCCCTAAACCGGACCTAATGTAGCAAACAATGTGGAGGGAAGCGCTTTGAAAAATTGGGCGTGGAAATGACGCTCGCAAGCACAACGGCTTAGAGTGTAGGACACGGTTACCTGGAGGACCATGGGACGTAGTAACTAAGGCGAATAGTTTCTGACTTGTGGTTGTAAGCAAATGTTACAGCTATCACGCTCACCACCCTCGGGACTATGTCCTATGATCACTAAAGTAGAGTAGAGTTACTCTGTTATTCAAAAACCTGGTTGCTATGTCCCATGATCCTTAAAAGCGTATAGTTGCACTGTTCATAGCCCGAGTTCCCTAGGTCCCATGACGCTTAAACCCTCAACCCTATAGTACTATAGATCCACTTGCAGAACCCTTCAAGTAACCTCGTGAGCTACTAAGTCCTATGATCCTAAACCTAAAGGCCCTAAACCTTAAGCCTGGAAGTAGGGTTCTCAACCAGAAACTGCTGCCAAAATGCCTGCTCCCAATCAGAGGCCGACCTCGTCAGAATGCCAAACCTCGACTCGGGGTCGAGAGTTTCGGGGTTTCTAGGGTTTAGGGGTTTAGGGTTATAGGGTTTAGGGTTTAGGGCTAAAGCCTTTGCAGCAAAACACCACGAAACCCCACTACAGAAACCAGGAAAGTAGCCCGCTATTGTAAACAAAGTCCTTGGTCATCGCCGTAGCAGTCGTAGTGTCATTGGTAAGTAACAGGAGGGAGTCTGACTGATAGTATATAGTCATATTAATATTGGCCACTGGCTACATATGTCACTGGTAGTACGGCCTGGGATAAACATTGCATCCCTGCTGTTGCTGTTACTCAGATTGCTTGCAACTGTGTAGACTTTGGGGGTAACTGTCAGGAGATGTGCAATGAGGGTCTCAGACAGGCTGCTGCTATAGATATAAGTGCAATATGTTGCTTGTTGCATGCAGTTAACAGCAAAGCCTGAGACATCACCCATGGATAAGACCAGCTGCATCCTTAAACCCTGAAACATTACCACTAGTCCTCTTCTGACGATGGCCAACCGTTCTTGTCCTATCAAATCTTTGCGGTCTAAGTCAAGGATCCTGGACACAACCTTGGTCAGAGGTCGTAGGAAGGGTGAAAATTGGAAACCCCCTGCCCAACACCCTGACACAGCCGCTTCGTCTCGTTGTCTGGAGCTCACGTTCCTGTGTCTCTTCGATGCCGTCATCCGAGCTTCGCAGCTGATCTGATCTGTCGTCAGCCAGAGATAGATGGTAACTTCATTGCTCTTAGAGGCTATTCAACCTGGTGTCGGATAAACAATAGTTTGTTCTTGAACCTGTAGAGCAAGCCGTCTACCCTAAGACCTCAAACCTTAAATTATGGACTCGACCGGCTCGGACGGTGGTGGTGCGAAATGTGGACATTCGTGCAAACTGCCGCGTCAAGACACCAGCAGCAGAGTGCTCGCATTCGGCGGTTTGGAAGCTGGCAGCAAGTGCGCAAATGAAAACTCATAGCTGCATGTGGCTGCGCGACCCGAAGCCCTACCCTTAAAGTTTGATTTGGCTAATTCTAGGCCAGGGTTCGAGGGCATCTGGTCAGGTCTAGAATCGCGTTTGCGGCGTCTAATTCAGGGCACGGTTTAGGATTTAGGGCACAGCTCAGAGACCAAACCCCTAAATTTCATTTCGCAGGAATTGTTGGGGAACAACTTTACCCTTGTCTCGGATGATGTGCTCAATATCCACGAGAAGCTCGCGTAATCCTTCTCCGACTTACCAAACCCGACTACGCAGCTTCCTTGCCTGGCTAACTGTCGATGCAAGCAGACACCAAGGGATCTCAGCTGCAGCTCACGGTCACATGGGTCATGCAGACAGAGTGCGCTGGTAATGTCTTTTAGTTGCCACGATGACAAGGTGGCAGTGGCAGTGCCAGTGGAATTGGTGGTGGTGGTGGCAGTAGTGGCAGAAGCAGCAGGGCAGAAGTAGCAGCAGCTGCGGTACCACTACCAGTAGTAGTAGCCGTGGTAGTGTTAATGCTCGTCTCAGCTGCAGCAATATTCTCGTTGGTGGTAAGCGAATGTTCGTCGCAGCCGCAGAAGCAGCAGCAGCAGCAATATTAGCACCCTACAGCGCAGGCTAGGCCGCAGGATCCATCCCGCTATCTTCACCACCTCTGCAACCCTAAACCTAGACTTCCCCAAACTGCAAGAATCTCCAGAATCCTCAACTCTAAACTCATTATCAGGACCCGCATCTCAAACTATCCTATGCCGTAAGCCCTAACCTCCACCTGATCCAAATCCAACGGCCGCTCGCCCGTCATTTGAGATCCCGGCTCGCCGCACATTTGCGAGAGATCGCCCAGAGGTTCTACCGAAAAATTGGTAAAACCATGACATTTGAGTTCAGCATAGTGCATAAGTTATAGGGGTATGGGTCTAGCGTTACGGGTTTGGGGTTCATCTATAATCAAGCGGCTGAATACTTACCACTAACTAAGATTTCCTAGGGTTCCTGACCATATAGACATACTGTCATATGCCTAGAGGCCCTTTTCACTAAACAATTTAAGGCCCCTATGCCCTTTACTGCCAATCTTCGTCCTTTTGCTAGTTCTCTCATGGCTGCAAAAGGTTCTCCGTACTCTCTTGATCGTGTCATATTGCTCTGTCGACAAAGCTCGATGGGGCTGCTTCAACCTGACTCCTCACGTCTAAACCCCTACACCCTAGACCCTGCTCCTAAACACTGAACCTAAACCCTCTCCCCTAACGGTGCTAAACTCTCCATCGAAAGCCTATCCTATGGTGCCTCGGAACCTCTGGGCGCAAGCCTTGTGCCCGTTGCCGTTGACATCGTTCGAGTCACGGCAGGAAGGAACGAAACTACGATGGACATTTTTCGAAGATGATGCCTGCGAAACGGGAGATCACAGAAACCAGCCTTAAACCCCCTAAACCGTACACCCCCTCCAACCACCAACAACAACGCCACCACCACCAACAACAACGACGACAGCAACAGCAACCTGACACTTTCCAGCCCAAGGTCTCAGGTAACATAGGCCCTACATAGCAAGAAGAGCATTTTGGGAAACAGCAGAGTACAAGTATCATACGGAACGCTCAGGAACACTGATACGCATTGATAACCCTTCAGCCCTGAACACACATTTGCAGGCGACCCTAAGTAGATACCACCCTTTTTAGTTAGGGTTCCTTATTGCCGTCTTCTTCAGCAACCGGGCCACACAAGTTCAAACTTTCTAAGATAGAGCTAATACATATAAAAAGCTTAAAGTTCCACCGTTCACTATCTAAGATTGTACTTGGAGGGCCGGGGGACTGAGTAACTGGTTAATTTAGGGACTTGTAAGTGTCATAACCCCAATTAGGGTCCCTTTTCGGGTAATTATAAGTCGACCTACTGCTGCCTACTTACTAAGTCCCTCGACCCTCCAAGTAAACCCTAAACCCCTAAACCCTAGGCTTGTCAAAGGGCTTCCACCGAGTCCTGAACCACTAGTCTGATTTTCGCTAAACCCTCATGTTACCCCCTGAAAGCTCCCCTTATATCGAAGCCTTTTTAGGATCCCTTTAACAGGAACCCTAGTCTAAACGGTTTAGGGTTTAGGGTTTTTTGCAATTTTTAAGGCCCAGCCGGCCAACTTTGCAAAAACGTCCAGGTGGCTGTGGCAGCCCTTCCAGGCAACTGGGAGAAGCTCGAGCTGCCATAGGGTGGAGGATGTAAGTCCTAGGGTTCCTGGGATCTATAAGGGCATCTTGAAGGGGTTCCCGTAAGGGATCTATGCGGTTTTGGGGTTTAGCTTTTAGGGTTGATGATCCAAATCCTGCATTACCTTAAGGACCCTAAACTATGGGAATTATGGTGTATTCCTTATTATGGGTAATGCAGGATCTATATCATCAACAGTAGGTTGAGGATTAGGGCTTATGTTTGGGGGTTAGGGTCAAGGGTTTAAGGGGTTTTGGGGCTTAGGTTTGGGGTTTAGGGGTTTAGGGTTCAAGGCTGTAGGCCGTCTATGATTCGAGGAAAAGGCTTTATCCTCTACCTTGCATTTGGGTCATAGGGTGGCGGGTTCACGGTTTAGCACACCCGCTACCCTTCTAGAACTCTTCATGAAACGGAAGCTGACTTCGGATTTTAGGGTGATGTGTGGCTTCTGAACATGTTCGCCTGAAGCGGCATCTAGGCATACCGAATCAGGTGGCATTCGGCCAAGTCTCCATCGAAAAATCATGCCCACTCATGGCACTGGGTAAGGGCGCCGAGTGCCAGAAAGAGGCTGAGGCCATGACATCGGGTCAACCACGAAGCTTTAGGCCTGTAATGTAGGGGCCCCTTTAACGGGCTCCCTTTAAAGGGCTACTATAACAAGGGTACTATAAGGGATGTAGAGAGATAGGAACCCTAAACCCCCCTAAACGCTAAACCCTAAACTCAGAACCCTGAACCCTATACTCTAAACCCTAATCACGAAACTTTAGAGCTGTAAACTTCTCCTCAGACCCTGTGGTGGCCGGGTCGAAGATACCCACCCCAAAGTCTCATATACCCTAAACCCCTAAACCCTAATAAACTCTGAAAAAACTGCAACCCTAGATCCGAACCAACCGTGAAGCCTGAACCCCCCCATACCGGGGCCTGAACTTAGAATTACAGCTTTGGGTGAACTCGTAATTGACAATGAAGCGTAGAAAGCGTAAAGTTAGAATAGAGCCTTGGGCAAAAAATGTCGTAAGGAAGAGTAGGGAATGGCATTTTCTACGCCCTAAACCCCTAAACCATTTGCGTATTCGCGCCTCTACATTGAACCCTCAATTTTCGAAATTAGGATATAGGGACCTTCATAGTTGGAGAAGGGTTCTGTTGTCCATTGACTTTTACATACATACATACATACATACATACATACATACATATATAATATACACATGTGTATATATATATATATATATATCTACACGCATAATGTAAATGTATATGTATATACATATGGGGGACGATAAGGAATAATATCACTAATTATTCGGGCTTCAATAGAATGATTTTGGGCACAGGACCTTAATGCAGGAGTTTGGCTCATGGCAATTGGGCTGGGCGAGGGTCGGGCAGGGGAACGGTTCTAGGTTCCCCAGTAACCCCTTAATGGTAAAAGGTTTAGGGTTTAGGGATCCTAATCTTCTGAGAAAGAGGCCCACAGTAAAAAGGGCAAAACGGTACTAGTCGGGAACCTAAACCAAAAAGACATGATACTTAGGTTTAGATTTTAGGGCTTGGGCTATAATCCGGTTCCAGTACTACCCGACATCAAATCACTGCCTCACTTTGCTGTCGGTGCTTCTTAATTAGCTATTCCTGCTCCTGGACCATGCATCGAAACAAGCCGATGCCCGACTCCTCAGAGAAAACGCCCGCCGTAGCCTCGTCGACAGGTGCCAGTTGAAGTGCCGTTGGGGTTGACTTCTGGATTACAGCTGTATCGCTTTTCTTACCTTGGATTGAGATTCCAACAACTAAGTCTGGGTTGAGGATCAGGATGCAGTTTGGGCTTGAAGCTCGAGCGATCTATTTGGGATTGCACATTTGGCCCAAATTTGGCATCTAGTGCGGATTTGGGAGGCTTCTGCTAGGCTCGGGGTTTCGAACGCTGAGTTTGTCTGGATCCCGTTTAGGGGTTAGGTTTAGGGTTTAGGCTTATTAGGAGGTTGTGAAGATTGTTGTTGGGGTACGATGGGACCCCAAACGTCAATCATGGGGCGCTGGTGTGGGCGGGTACTTCCCGTTTATCGATGACAGCATCGCCCGGCCATAAGCCTTGAAGCCCTCCACCCTGAATCCTGAACACCACTTGGAGGTTCAAGTAGGGTTATATAGGGCCCCTTTAAGGGCTCTTATAGGGTTTAAGGTTCAAGGTGGTTATAAGTAGGGTAACTAGAATTAAAACCCATATCAAGGGACTTATAACCCCACTTATAGCTACCCATGAACCTCAGAGCAACACCCCAAAACCCCTAAGGCGCTTTCGCAAAGGCGGGATAGCCCTGAGGAACCAGGTCCCATACCAAGCTCACAACCTACACCCTTAATCCGAAACCGAGGGTTATGTAATTCCTTCAGTCTACAAATCCCGGATTTGGAATCACAACGAACAGACCCCTAAATTTGGAGACACCCGAAACCCTGAAGCAAGTCCTGGTCCTTCCGATCTCTGCAGAAGAAACATGCCAACACATCCTAAACCCCCTAAGCTCTTCACACTGAACTCTGAACTCTAAACCCTAACCCCTAAACGCCCTAAACTCCAAACCCTAACTCTAAACCCCAACGGGACCAGATCCAACCACTCGGCCCGGCACAACGCCTAAATGCCCTAGGCCCTAAACCCTATTTCGAACTCTAAACCCCCCAACACCAGATCCAAACACTCGGCCCGGCGCAGCAAGACAGGTTCCTGGGCTGTTAAGCAAACAGGGGGAAAATAGTAAACTGTTTTCACAATGGTTCCGTTAAAGAAAGTGTATAAACTTTGATTTCATGATGGTTCCTTGGACGAAAAAAGGGTTAAAGTCTGGTACTCCAAAGCCCAGGTTCCACATCGCCAGTGCATTGCTCTGCTTGGACTCTGTCTCTTCCACCTGCGACTGGGGCAGACCTGCGCCGTAGCTTCGGGTTTAATATAGGGGCCTTAATCTTTAGAATAGGGTTCCTTTAATGGGGGTTTAGTACCGGGGCCTTGATAATTAGAATAGGGATTTGGGGGCCATTATACTATAAATACAATGAGGAACCTTCAAAGTAGTTTAGGTAATTCTTGAGGCCCCATATTAGGGTTTCAGGGCGCTGGGTCATTTTAGGGGCTTGGCAATTGGGGGCCTCAGGATTTCTATGCAGGAGTGTGGTTTTTTGGATTGAGCGTCTGGCGGCTAAAAATTTCGGGTCGCAATGTGGCGGCCTAGGAAGCCCAGAAGCCTAAACCCCCCTACCCTAAACCTTGCCCGGTAATTAAACCTGAACAAGCTGTGGGCATGGACATCCAGGCGTAGCGTTTTCTGCGGTTGCAGCTTCCACAACCGACGCTCTAGGGCCAAGCCGCTGAGCAATAAGCTCCAAAATAGGTTAAGCCCTAAACCACCCTAAATCCTACACTGACCCGTAAAATCTGCGATGCTCTTCTTCGATTCTACTCTGTCCTCGTTTGCAGGGTCCCTGTATGATGCACTGCGTCAAGGTTCCGAAACACACCAACTTGGAGATACAACTACCTACAGCCCCAGTTGAATTGCTCTCAATCCGGAATTCACAAGCTCTACCGACTGTACAGACAAGCTTAGTCACAGGATCCTGTGTTCCCTATAAGTCCTGACCCTAAACCCAAACGCCCAAAGCCCACTGGCAAGATTATTTTGTGCTGGCAATGGGCTGCCTTCCTCTGAGTCGATAATTGAAAACCCAGCTTCAACCTCCGTCAGGAATCTGGTGCGATGCTCCAGCCCGAGAAACTTACAGGTGTACGAGATCAAGTGCGTTTCGCGGTCACACCCGTCCATTCTGTGTAATGCCAGGCTTTCCGGCGACAGCTGCCTGTGGTAAGCTTGGCTACCGCCAGGTAACCGAGGGAGAGATCCATGATCTTGCGGCAGCGATACCGCTGTTCCCATTCTGACACACCCTGGATCGCGTCCAGGTGCTTCAGAACTTCCTTGACTTCTCCTCGGGGAGTATCGCCACCGAGAGATTCATCAGCTGGTCTTTGGTGACCGGCGCGAGCTGACGGACACGGTTCGCCACGTCCTGCATTACGCCGGGAAGCCTCCATTCCGAGGGGCGAACCCTTTCAAGTACGCTTCAAACACGACAGTTATGCGAAGGACGTACCCTTTCAAACACGACAGTTGCGCGAAGTCCAACCAATTCAAGCACGACCGTTGCGCGAAGGGCGTACAACTTGCCGCAGGGACTTGTGCTGACGCTGACTCGTGCCCTTGCAACCCATGTCAGAGTCCTAACCCTAAACCCCAAAAGCCCTAAACACCTAACACCCGAAACCCAAGCGGAGTCCTAATCCTAAACCCAAAAGCCCTAACACCTAACACCCGAAACCCAAGAAGCGGAGTCCTAACCCTAAACCCAAAAATTCAAAGCCCCAACACCTAACACCCGAAACGGAGTCCTAACCCTAAACCCAAAAGCCCTAACACCTAACACCCGAAACCCAAGCGGAGTCCTAACCCTAAACCCAAAAATTCAAAAACCCCAACACCTAGCACCCGAAACCCAAGCGGAGTCCTCACCCCTAAACCCAAAAGCCACAACACCTAACACCCCAAACCCAAGAAGGCCCTGAACCCTCAACTCCCGAAAGCTTCACAGGCTTCGGAATCAAAACGGATTGGAGCTCAAAGTTTGCAGTCCAAGTAATGTAGGGGATTAGAATAGAGCTTCTTTTCGGATTCCTGTTAATAAAGGGGTCTATGAGGATTGCTATAAGGTATACTGGGGGTTTAGTATCGGGGCCTTGGTAATTGGAATAGGGTTGTGGGATCTATTATACTATACTTATAATAAGCGACCCCCCCCCCCGAAAAAACAACAAGAATAGTCTAGGTAATTATTGTGGCTCCTGTATTCGGTGTCGAGTTGAAGCTTGCACAGGGGGGTTCTATCGTGGTTTGGGGGTTTCCGAAAAGAGGGGACCCTAATATAGAACCCTAAATAGTAGGACCCTTACTACAAGGACCCCAAAATAAGGTACCCCTAATCTTCGGAAACTCCGGTTCAGGGGCCAAGGGGTCTGTTAGGGTTCAAGGGAATTTCGACCACTGCAGCTTTGGGCGTAGGGCGTACTTAGATTTCATGTTCAGGGCTTCTGCCGACATTCCCCAACCTAAACTCAAAACTATAAACTCTTAAACTCAAACCCGCGCGCCTATGAGCTCCTTCAGCTTGTCGCCCTCTGGGGGATGCAAGGCGCTCCACATGGCGACATTCAGGTAATACCTGTTCCGATTCCGAAGGTGGTATGCGATTGAGATGTCAGGCCCTACACTCCGAGTCGCGGCAAGGGTCTAAGTTTCCGTGGCCCTAGCTCTACAGTCAGGAACGGTCTGGGTGGAAATCAGGTGTGGGTTTAAAGCTTCTATCAGTTTGTTCCAGACCTCATACAATTGCCCACCCGGTGGGGGGCCCTTGCGATGTCTTTGCGCGTTTGGGTGCTTATCAAAACCCAGAAGTGATCGAACCAATATAGGGGCCTCAATAATTAGAAAAGGGGGCCCTTTAAAGGGATCCTTAAAAGCGTTCTAGAAGGGATCCTTAATAGGGTTCTAAAGTAGGGGCCGAAATAATTAGAAGAGGGTTTTGGGGTATATGATACCAACAGTACTTATAAATATTCAGGCCCCTATGTTGAGCTGATCAGCTTCCACCGCATCCTAGACTCAAAGGGGAGAAGGAGGGACCCTTAATGGGGACCCCTACCCTATAATGGGCTATATAATGGGTATATAATGGCTATATTAAGGGTATATGCCTAGGGGTTCTTATTAAGGGTCCCTCCTCTTCCCCTTTGATAGACCCTAAGCCCTAAGTCCGGTGACTCGAGCTGCTCATTGGCCCTTCGAATGCAGGGGAAATTGTGATCCTGGCACGACAACCCAATCTCTAAATTCTAAACCCTGAACCCCAAATTACTTAACTTGGAGGGTCGGGGGACTTAGTAACTGGTTATTTTAGGGACTTATAAGTACCATAAGCCCAATTAGGGTCCCTTTTGGGGTATAAGTCTACCTACCACCTACTTACTAAGTCCCCCGACCCTCCAAGAACCCTAAGCCCAGAACTTCCCCCGATTCCACATGCCAGCATTTGGGTAGCATCCGGCGGCCCCAATCAGAATTTTGCAAGTCACTACGCAGGTGGTGCACGCATCCTTTTTGGCTCGAACCGATCACTTAGGTAAGGAAATCAAGTATCAGGATTGCGCGCAAACATTGTTTTCGTAGGGCGCAAACCCCACGAACCCACCCAGACTTCAACACTTAAAACCCAAACGACCTGACCTTGAACCTAATCAAGCCCATACCGCTAAACACCTAAACCGACAACTCTCACGAAACACTTACGAAGACCTTGGAAAGACCTTCTCAAACCCTGGGTGGCGGACAAGGAACTTAGTTTAAGTTACCATAATGGAGGTATATAGTAAGTAACAGGGTTTCCGTATTATACCAACTTAGTTTAAGTTCCTCAACTAATAAACAGCAACCCAGCTTCCCCATCGGCCTCTTGCGGGACCTCAGGTGCCTGCACATCCCAGGCTTGGAGGTTTCAGTGCAAGATTCGAAATACAGGGGACCCAGAGACTCCAAGGGGACCCTCAATTCAGGAATAATACTTTAGGGTTCCTACTATAATTTAAGGTCTATTCCTTAGTTAAGGGGTACTGGAGTCTCTGGGAACCCCAATACGGTGGGGGTTTCGGGGTTTACGGTTAAGGGCCTCTTTGGGTTTTAGCGTTTATGCGGATTTCCGGGGCGTTGGTTTAAAGATGCTTCATGAACGGACCCCCCCGAACCCTGGACCCAAAGGCAGGAAACCCAGGAGGCGTAAAGCCGTGATCCGTTAAGGTACCATAGGGGCCCCTTATTATAATTATGGTGTAATGGGCCCCAAGCCCTATTCTAATGATTAAGACCCCCTATGTATACTATAGTACCCTTATAGATCCTCTTATAGCAGCTAGCCCCTATAGACCCCTTTAAAAAGGAACCCCTATTCTTATGATTAAGGCCTCTATATTGGCAAGGTGTCCCTTCTCCGGATGGAACAGAGGCTTTTGCAGGCTTAATATAGGGGCCTTGATAATTAGACCAGGGGTTCCTGTTTAAAGGGGCCTATAAGGGGCTACTGTAAAGGGATCTATAGTATAGGGGGCCTTAAGATTAGAATAGGGTTTTGGAGCCCATTACACTATAATTATAACAAGGAACCCCTCCCAAATTAGTATTGGTGATTATTTAAGCCCCTGTATGAGTGAAATGCTCTACGGGGCTTGACGAGTCTCACCAGAAGAACCCCTCGATATGCCTCCACGCACCGACTTTTGCAAAGGAGCCTCTACATCCAAGACACACTAAAACCCCCTAAAAGAAGCCTAGATTGCATCACTTCTCGTTTCCGTCCACACTTGTCAACAACACCAATCCCGAACCCTTGCACTTAGACCAAGCCCGAAGACCCGCCTTCCCACCTAAACCCAAAAGCATATGGGAGTTTACCTTATTTTGGGGTCCTTATAATACGGATCCTACTATTTAGGGTACTATGTTAGGGTCCCCTATTTTCGGAAACTCCCATATCTTGTACAGTCCAAGTGGCCTACTGCTCCGCGGGCCCAAACAGGAACCCTACTTTTGGACAAGAAGATGGCCATAAGGCAAGCTCGCTCTTCAGTTCGGATGCCCTTAAACGGACACGCAATTACGATGGCCCCTAAACCCTAAACCCTATACCCCAAACCATAAAACCCTCAACCCTAAACCCTAAACCCCGAAACCCTAAACCCCTCGTCCAGATGGAACCATAAGGCAACCCCTGAAGCCCTAACCTCGAACCATAAAACTTCCAGGGTTTGTTCCTTCAAGGGCGCCTTTCAGGGATCCATACTTGAAGGGTCGGGGGACTTAGTAAGCAGGTAGTAAGTAGACTTGTAAGTACCCTAAAAGGGACCCTAATTGGGGTTACAGTACTTATATTATAGGGCCCAAAACCCACAACGCTAAACCCCAAACCCAATCACTCTGAACCTCAACACCCCAACTTCAAACACTCAGTTGCAGCCCCTAAGCCCTAAACCCCAAAAACCTTACACCCTGAACCTAAAACCCTAAAACCCTACACACCTAAACCCTTGTAGTACCCTTACAGAGCCCTTTCAAGGCACCCTTATAATCCCCTTTACAAGGAACCCATATAGAACCCCAAACTCTACGCCCTGAAGCCTGAAACCTAAACCCCTACAACCCCTAAACCCCTGAAACCCCTAAACCCCTAAAACCCCTCAAACCCCTAAACCCTGAACCCTAAACCCTAAACCCCTAAACCCTTAAACCCCTGAACCCCAAACCTTTAAACCCCTGAACCCTAAACCCCTAACCCAGGCCTCGGGTCGGGATGCTCTCCGGGCATCTCATAGATCGCAATGGTCAGGGGCGCTTTCCTTAGGTTGTTTAGGGTTTAGGGTTTTCAATATGGGAGTTTCCGAAAATTGGGGGGGGGGGGGGGGGTACTATATTAGGCTTCCCTATTTTCGGAAACTCTCATATACTGCTCTTGATGACTGCTCTTGATGATACAAATCTTGCATTACCTTAAGGACCCTAGTTCATGGGAACTACTGCATACTCCTTGTTATGGGTAGTGTCGGATTTATATCATCAACAGTATATCGTGTATATCATATACCTTATATTACGTTTTAAAGCACGTCCTTCATGGGCAAAAGAGTTTCTCTTTCCTCAGGATGCAGGGTTTACGGTTTATTGCTCAGGGGCGCCTTCCGTAGTTTTCGAGTATGATAGGGGAACCAAACATTATCCTTTAGGATACTAGCGGGGTCATAGCGCACCTTAAAAGGTTAAAGGTTACCTACTCTTCTACTAAGTTCCCTTGGGATTTAGCATTTGTGTATGGCTTTGCTGAGGAATCCGGGCGCGCGCTTTACTTCTAAGGGCTTAGGGCATACGGTTTGCGTGTTGTCAGGTAAAAGGCTTACCGCTTAAGGCTCTCAAACCTGCTTCTGGGCAAAGGGTTTGGTCTTTGGTTGCGTGAAGCGTGCAGGCTTTACCTGGACCCTGAAGAACCTACCTTTCGTGAGGACTTACAGAAGGAAATCATAATAAGAAGCTCGAAAAAGGAAGGTTCATTAGGGTCCAGCTAGGACTCAAGGACAATCTCGGTTGTCTGAGTTTACTATGGGAGTCCCAAGGTCCACTCTTCTTTCATAAACAACTCCCCTCGGCTACGGCTCCACTTCAGCTTCGTCTGGTCGCCCTGGGGCCTCGCCAAGTTGGACACTCGCCAAAACCGGCACCACTGGAAAGAAACATGAGTGCATGTGCCCAAAACGACGTGCAAACCTCAAAAGCCTCTGGAAGCGGACCGGAGAGAACCTGCCCAACCATGAACCTGCGCGGGGCAACCCCTCCTCCAACAAACGGTTTAGGCCTCAAACATCAACCCCAAACCCAAAACCCCGAAAGCCACTGCACCAAGCCGCAGCCCAAAGCGGGAGAAACCAAAGGTCATGCCTGCGGCGTTTATCCAGGGATTAGGATTCGGGGCCCGCAAGCACCTATCCCAGATCCCGGCGGGAGGATCCAAAAAGTAGATCCCTTAATGGGGGCTCCTATAAAGTACCCTTAGTAGTATAGGGCCCCAAACTAGGGGATCTACTTTCTAGATCCTAAATCCTAAACCCAAATCCCCAAAAAAACTCTAAACCCTAAACCTTTAAACCCTGCACCCTACCTTCTAGATCCTTTTGGAAGTATTGGGCAGCAAACTAGGGGATCTACTTTCTAGATCCTCCCGGGGGTCTGGGTACACAAACTCCAGACTCCCAGTGCCCCAGGGTTTGCGGGTTCCAGCCTGAAGTTCGCAAAGTGTAACTAATTAGGAACCCATATGGGAGTTTCCGAAAATTAGGGGGGTACATTATGTTGAGATCCTTGTAATACGGATCCTACTATTTAGGATTTAGGATCCCGCATTTTCGGAAACTCCCCTGCAAAAGATGTTTGTGTTCGATGCTCACAGCGCCCTTTGGGCTAACGACACGCGGACGTGTGTGTGTGTGTGTGTGTGTGCGCGCGCGTGTGTGTGTGTGTGTGAGCTTCTGGGTATACGGCCGTTTTTGTTAACGGCTTTTTCACACGTACGAGTGAAAAAACAGTTATCAATATCCTTTGAACATGATACACCATCCCCACCTGCCGCTGCTGCTACTAACCTGCTACCAATAGTAACAATAATAAATTTGTAGTGATGAAAGAGGCACATGCTTAGACAGTCAATGTCACAAACACAGTGGTACTATCATAACCAGAACGCACTACTGATCGTTGCGATGCGAGATGCAAGGCAGACATTTAAAGGAACCCTACAGTCCCCAAAGTCCCCCCAACTCAACGCCAGGCCTGGAATGATGCCCCGTGCTTCCCAGCGGATGCAATCCAAGAACTGGGACACGCCCCAGATGCAGAAGGTATAGACCTCCGTAGGGTTTAGGGTTTAGGGCTTTAGGGGTTTATGGTTTAGGAGTTTAGAGGTTTAGAGTTTTGGGGTCCAGTGTCTATGATAGACCTCCATATACAAGTTTATCCCTACGCTTTGGCGTCTACGGCTTCAGCTCAGGTCAGCAACGATTGAGTTCAGGAACTAGTCGCAAGGCTTCAATTAAACCCTGGTTCAGAGCAGGTTCCTGAACTACATTGCAATCGGAACCCTGAGCCGGCTAAACTCCAGAAGCTTACAGTTCAGGGTTTTCGGGATTGGAGGTTCGGGTACTGCAGTTCTATACAGCTTGTGCCAAAGCTGTTCTTCAGGCTACTAGCCAAACCTCCCTCAACCCCCCAAGTCCACACCGCCAGCGCACTCAAACCCTAAACCCCTTAACTCTAAACCCCTTAACCCTAAACCCAAAGCCCTAAACCCTGAGCCGTTCAACTCTAGACCTGCAAGCACCAAGTTGGTGTAAACCTGAAATCTTCTCAAATCCGTTGGCCCGAAACACGGGCCTGAAACTGCAAACTCTTAATCTAGGAGCCTTAATAATTCGAATAGGGTTCCTTTAAGGGTTCCTTTAAGGGTTCCTTATAGGGTTCTATAAGGTACTAAAATTAGGCCCCTATATTAAGCCTAAACCCTGCAGCGACAGCAAAGTAGTTATAAATACATGACATCGCGAAGATCCAGTCCAAGACTCAGCTAGGCTTAGGACTCAGGGTTGGGTTAAGGGTTTGTGATTCAGGGTTTAGGATCAGCGTTGTGATACGGGTTTGGGTAAAGCTTAAGGTGCTCTGGTTTTTTTTAAAGGTTCGTCATGCAGTAAGTCTAACATCCTAAGGCTCGCCTGCAACCCCGTCACAGAGTCGGATCAAACCGAAAGTCTCGAAGCCCGTGTGATTTCGTGTTTAGGGTTTGGGGTTGCGATGCTTTCTGGGGGACTTAGGAAGTAGGGCCTGTCAGAACTTTAAACGGCATATTCGGAATTGCAACTGACTGTTTCCGTTCATATACCACAGCTTACGACCCTTTCCCGCCCGATCTTCCTGAGTATTGCCTTATTTCTCGCGGGATTTGGGTGGGGGCTTCTGAGGTCAGGCCCTAAACCTAACCCTAAACCCTAAACCCCTAAACCCAGGCCTTATCCGTGGAGAAGTTCTCCACAACCTTCTCCAGCTCATTCACATACGCCTGCGAGGCTCCACTTCAACCCGAAGCCCTACACCCGAATGAGGGTTTGGGAAACCTTCTCTCGCTCCCGAATCCCTAAGGCTATATGAATGCTGAAGAAAATCCTGAACCCTATATATCTCTGCACTACATTGTGCCTGAAAAGCACTCAACCCCTAAACACCATGACTCCGAAGATAAGCTTGCACATAAGTCGAACAAATCGGAACCCTCGTGCACCCACAGAATTGAGATCCTACAACCCGGCGGGTGAGTGGCACCACCTGCACTCTCCGACGCGCTGACATCACCAGGTGCCAGTGCAAGCAAAGCATGTTTCTGGGCTTGGCCGCCACAGCAAAGCACAAACTCACAGCAGTTCATTTCGGCGGAATTCCCATACTCCCCGCTTGCCCCAGGCGGCGCTGCCCACCTCTGGTTTCTGCTTCACCGTGCAGGGGCTTCCGGCTTTTGGGACACCTCCGGTGTCCGTTATATGACGCTGTCCCGTTGTGCCAGCTGCACTTCGATCTGAGTCTAGGAGTGCTGCTCCTTCAAGAGCTTCAGAAGTCTTGAAGGTAGTCCTGTTGTGTCCCAATTATAACCGACTTACTAAGTCCCAGGAACCTCTAAGTATGGTTTGGCGTCGAGGCTTTCTGGATTTAGGGCTTGCGGCTTACGACCTGGAACTTACGCCGAATTTCGTCTCCTGTCTGGAGCGTAGGGTTCAGCCCACTATGCTGACCCTCAATACCTCAAGAATCAAGGGCTGAAGTGGTAGAACGGTACCAGCACATAACAAAAACACGCTTAACGCTTGGCTGTTGCAGAACCAAAACCACAATGTATAGGGTTTCTTTGTGGTAATTCTGTGTCTTCTTGTGATTGCCCTGGTTTCAAACGGGTGCTCATGTGAAGGGGGTATCTTGGGTGGTACGGAGCGGTGTTGTACACCCCTACTGCACTCCCGCCTGACCTGTGAGAGCCCGCAGCGAAGGATCAGCATCGGTCGCAGTACGTAGCATACTGTAGGGGCCTTAATAGTTGGAATAAGGTTTTGGGGACCTTTAGACTACAACCATAAGAAAAATGCCCAAAATAGTATTGGTGATTACAGGGCCGGATAACCCCACATGTGAAGATTGTCCACGCACAGACAACGTAAAGATGCAAAAGAGGCAAAAGAGTCAATGAGTCCGGGAGTAAATGAATGAGTGAGTGAACGAGTGAGTGAGTGCTGCAGTGATTGCGTATGTGGATGTTATGAGGGTGTATGATGTGTGCATGTGCGGTGTGCGAGTATAGTGCGTGTGTGTGCATGTGTGTTCGTGCGTGTGTATGTACCGACAGTTTCGGCAACTCGCCCGGGCAATTCCTTCGGCAGAACTCTCCCACCACTGCCAGTGTGGGTGTGTGTGTGTGTGCATGTGTGTGTGCGCGTGTATGTGTGTGTGTGTGTGTGCATTTGTGTGTGTGTGTGTGTGTGTGCGTGTGTGTGCGTGTGTGCCTGTGTGTGTGTGTGTGCGTGTGTGTGTGTGTGTGCGTGTGTGTGTGTGTGTCTGTGTCTGTGTCTGTGTCTGTGTCTGTGTCTGTGCGTGAATGTGTCCCAGCCCGGGGAGGGTCTTTAGTCGCGGAAGAGTCTCGCCCCCAGCGCGCGGCCTTGGCCGGAGCAGCCCGGGAGTGTCTTTAGTCGCGGAAGAGTCTCGCCCCCAGCGCACGCGCGGCGTTGGCCGCAAGGGTCTTTCGTCGCGGAAGAGTCTCGCCCCCAGCGCGCGCACGGCCTTGGCCGGAGCAGCCCCGGGGAAGGTCTTTAGTCGCGGAAGAGTCTCGCCCCCAGCGCGCACGCGGCCTTGGCCGGAGCAGCCCGGGGAGGGTCTATAGTCGCAGAAGAGTCTCGCCGGGAGGAAGGGTCTCGCCCCCAGCGCGCGCGCGGCCTTGGCCGGAGCAGCCCGGGAGTGTCTTTAGTCGCGGAATGTCGCGGAAGAGTCTCGCCCCCAGCGCACGTGCGGCGGAGCAGCCCGGGAGGGTCTTTAGTCGCGGAAGAGTCTCGCCCCCAGCGCGCGCGCGGCCTTGGCCGGAGCAGTTTTGGGGAAGGTCTTTAGTCGCGGAAGAGTCTCGCGGGAGAGTGTGTGTGTGTGTGACAGTATGACAGTATGACAGTGATGAGAAGGCGAAGTCGGGAGGAGGCGGAGAAGGAGGCGGAGGCGGAGGAGGAGGAGGCAAAACAGCCCCAAAAAGTAAGAACCTCACACAGTGATGTGGGGAATTATTGAGGCCCCTATATTACGGTGTAATTGCCAGTGCTTCTGGTCAGAACCACGACATTGCAAGAAAGTAGCATAAATGATCAACACCTAACCCCTAAATCCAAACTCAAGTGGAATAATTACCCACGTGCCACTGAAAACCTGGACTGTCCTAAACCCCCAAACCCGCAATCTAGATCCAAGACACCTCAACCCGGAACTCCGAAATCACCGGAAATCCTGAATCCCAAATCACCCAGATTGATTATGTCATTGTGGATCCCGCAGGATCCTTGTAAGAACAGCTTTGGGGAACCACTATCGAACTCCCTAAACCCTAAATCCCCAAACCCTGACGCCTAAACTCGTAAAGGAGCCCTGTGTGACACCCTTACAAGAAACTGTGGTAATAAATGTTTTTGGAACTTCAAGGAGCCCTTAAGGGGGACTCTCGGGCTCCTTGAAAGGGCTCCTTTAAGGGACCTCTAGGGTTCCTTTAAAGGTTTCCTTTAAGGGATCTATGGGATTTCTGTATGGGAACCCCTGAAGGAGCCCTTCTGGGAACGCCTGCAGACCTGTGACTGGAGCTGTCGTAATACCCTCAGAAGACCCTTGTCGGATTCCCTTAGAGGGGCCCTTGCAGGAACCCCTTAAACGGTTCCTTAAACGAATGAAAGCGGTTCCTCGAAGAAGCCCCTGATAAAAGAACCCTAAAAGGTTTCTTCAAAAGGGAAACTGTACTGTAAGGGAACCGTGAAGGATTCCATTAAAGGAACTACTTGTCGAGTATCATGGGGAACTAAAGGCTAACCTTTTTGGTAATATAGGTATATATAGGGACTATACTACCAAAAACGGTTAAAGGTTACCTGCTCTACTACTAGGAGGAACCATGTAAAGGGGTTCCTTCAAGGAACCCTTGCCAGTCGAGGCCTTGAGCCCCTCGCTGCGACGCATTCCGACGTTTGCGAGGTCCCCACAGAGATCGGGCTCCTCGCCGACCTGTTGCGGTTCCTTTAAGGTCCCTTTAAAGGGATCTATAGCTGGGTTGTAGTTTTGGGGTTCTGAAAAGTATTTCTGAATAGGTACCTCTATAGGAACCATAAGGGAAATGAAAAAGTTTCCCAAATTGCCACCTGGATAGGGATTCTTTAAGGGTATAGGGTTTAGGGTTTAGACCTGTTGCGGCTTAGAGCGTTACTTGGGGGTTCACGGGTAACTATGAATGGGGTTATAGGGTTCCTTTACGGGCTTACAGGGTTAGGGTGTCGGGTTTAGGGTAGTTGTAAGCGGAGCTATCAGTCCCCCAGTATGGCCTATGTAGTTACTCTACTTTTCTAACCCCACTGATAACTACCCATGAACCTCCAAGTAGGGCTCGTGAAAGGGATGCACCCTCTTTGACGTTATTTCGTGGGCAGGAAACAATTTCTGTGATGCATCTTCCATCGGATTCTGGCACTCTTTCTTGCTGGCAAACCCTAAACCCTACACCCTAAACCCTAACCGGACCCCAACGCTCGAGATTGCCAGCCTTTCAGGAGCAAAACGGAGATGCTGTGCGGATTCAAAGTGCTCTTGGATGAGGAAGACTGCCAGGAGGTTCATGGGTCGTTATAAGTGGTGTTGCAAGTAGGATAACTATACTTCTAACCCATATTAGGGGACTTATAACCCCACTTATAACTACCCATAAACCTCCAAGTGTGTTTGTGTTTGGGCACAGCACTCTTCATTGTCCAGTCTCTGGCAAAACCATGCACTGCCAAACTCTTCTGCCCTACCCTACCCTACTCTACGCTACTACCCTACCCTACCCTACCCTCCCTACCCTACCCTACTACAACCCTCTTCAGCCTGAGCCTCCTGCTGAGCTGCCTCTCTGGCCACAATACAAAAAACCCAAACTGCCCTAAAAACCGCGAACCCAAAAACACCTGACCTTGAAACATGTGGCCCTAAACCGCGAGCCCCATGCCCGGAAGTTGCATCCCAGGCCTCCGAGACGACGAACTGATCGAAGGCCCAGAGTGGCATCACAAAGGTCGAGGGCTCAACTTCGACTCCCGGGGGAGCCTCCGAGGCAGCTTCTCACTTGGAGCTTCATGGGTTGGTATATACAAGTGGAGATATTTGGGGACTTATAAGCCTACTTAGAAATAGAGACCGTGTCGCTGCGACTCCAGGGGGAGCCTCGGGGGCGGCTTCACAGATAGAGGGTTACTTTAAGGGCTCCCTTTTAAAGGGATCTATAGGGATTCTATACGGGTATAGGGTTTAGGGTTCATGGGTAGATATAAGTGGAGTTAATAAGTAAGGTAAGGGCAATTATAACCCAGATTAGGGGACTTATAACCCTACCTATAACTACCCACGAACCTCAAAGCAGGAAAGGGCGTAAAGGTTCAGGGGTTCAGGTTTAGGGTTTAGGGTGAGGGTCTAGGGGCTACGGTTTAGGCCTACTTGTCTTACGGCTCGACCCTGTCTGCTCACTGGCGGGATGCAAACATGTGCTCTGATCTGTGACATGGTTTTCCTTACGAGACTTCGTAACGCTCCCGCACTTTTGGCCAATCTGCCTATCTATGAACGTTAGTCGCTAAACCTTGCCACGGGGCCGGTAACAAGTGGGAAGGCTTTTTTCCTTCAGAATCCCGTTGCTTAAGTCTCAATCTGGAACACTAACCCTAAGGGTCCAAGTAGTGATTTTCCCATCCATCCAAAGTCCCAACATAATTCCGGAAGCTCGGTATGTCAAGCCCTGAACTCCATACCCCAATGGGGGTTTTGGCCTTAACGGTTCGCAATTTAGGGCTTACGGCCCAGACTCTGAAATCTTGAACCTCAGATATAACCCTCAGGGTCCATGTGCCCAAATAGTATGGAATTTGGCCTTGAAGCAGTCCCAATGTAGCCGAAGTATATATTATCTGGGTACATGGACGGACCCTTAGGGCAAATAACCCCAAGGCGCTGAAGCTCCTTGTGTCCCCAAGCCCTGAGCTCCAACAGCTCTTGACTCCCAAACCTTCAAATGGCCCCAAAGCCCTGAAGCCCCAGGCCCTACAACCCCTACGCCCCAATATCACCGAATCTGCTAGTAAGTACAGCCCTCAAAGACCTGTTCTGTCAACCCTCGGCTACAAGGCGGATGAAATCCTATAAAAGACTAAACGACCACACCAACCACGACCCACCTTCCGGGGGTCCTCTCCATCGGATTGGTAGAAGTCTCCGATGACCCCTGCGCTTCGACGCGTACAGCCCTAAACCCGAAACCCCGAACCCAAAACCCAGATCTATAGGCTCAAAGTTAGCTTCAGGGTTTGGGACTTCACTTACTGTTTTGAGGTTTAAGGTTAGATCAGTTAGATGGTTTAAAGCTGAAGATCAAATGGCTTTAGTAGGTTGAATGGTTTAAAGCTTAGGGTTGGATTGTTGCGGGTTTTGGCAAAGATGGTCTAGAGTTTCGAGGAGGACTACGGAGTTCTGGTACTTAGCAGTGGATTGGTGGCGTCGTATTGAGCAGTTACTTACTGATGACTCGGATGACTCTTGAAGCCATCCTCAACAGTGTCTTAGTATCGTCAACCCTAAACTCCTAAACCCTAAACCCTAATCTACCAACGGGGGCATGAGAGTCCTGAAGACAATCCCCCCTTAATCGCCCCAAGGATTCGGTGAAAACTGAGGGCAACGGGTGTTGTGGTTTCGGTGGCTTTTAGGGGTTTAGTTAGGGTTTCTGGGTTTAGGCGTGGGATGTACTAAGATACGACAAAGACGACGAGATAAGGTAAGATAGGTTAGGCTGACGTATGATAAGATTTTATGTGATACAATCGCACAAACATACAAGGAAGGAACGCATATCACGGTACAAACTAAACCTTGACACCTGGACAACCCCCTGACACCCAAACCCACACACACACACAGAATCCTAACATCAAGGCCCTTCAAGAAAGCGGCCCTGCTACACTAGGCCCTAACCATAAACCCTTGCCCCCGCGGCCTATACCCCAAACCCAGAACACCGAACACTCTCCTCCAACCCCCACTCGCTGAAGTCTGAAAGATCTAGAGACGCCTCAAACTCGAAAACTTGAAAGGGTTGGGGTTTAGGGTCTAGGCTCTACAACTCTACCATCTACATCCCTCAACGCTTAGGTTCCCCAATACCGCTTAATGATAAGGGTCCCCTCTTTCCTGGTATGCAGCGTTAACCTAGGAACCCTGACAAAAAAGGCAAAGGGGTACGGTACTACTGAGAAGCTTAGTATAGCACTTTTAATACGGCACACTTACGAAGAGGAACCTGTAGCCTTGAAGAGTTTAGAAACCCGAATCGATCCATTTATGGAACCTTACAAAGGTACTCTAATTTAGAGAACGTAACTACCCCTATGATCATCCCTCGATGCCTTGAACTGCTTTGATGAGGACACTTTTCAGATGCTTCGCAGCAGTCGAGCCGTCCTGGAACAGGGCTGGGGCTATGGGCTTCACGGTTTAGGGGTGAGGCTTACGGTATTGCTGGGCATGACCTGTTGCTACAGCCTTAAACCCAACAGAACCTAAAGGCGTTCAACTCCTTAACATCATCCAACCCTCAGCCCCCAAAACCCTCTCAGACCCGGAAATCTTCGAACTGCAGTCCCCTAAACCCTAAACCCTATGTAAACCCTCAACCCTGGTCCATAAGCCCTAAACCCAAATCCCTAGACCCTAAACCCTCAAACTTCCATCGGACCTCGCAGTCTGGTATCTCGATGCCGAGAAAGATCTTGCTAGTGGGCACCTGGCCGTTTTCAGGTCTGCACGTTTCAAGGCAAGGTTTTAGGGGGGGTTTAAGGTTTAAGGTTTGGGGTTTTAGGGCTTACGGTTTAGTTTTTTGGTTGGTTTAGGTTTTGAGGTTTAGGGCTCTAGGTCAAGGAACCATGCCATGAATCTCCAGACCCTGAGTACGTAATAGTAACAAATAGTAACTAGTAACAACGAAGCAATACTGAGAACAATAAGTAGTATGTAGTCGTACTCTTTTAGACAGGGAACAAGAGTACATACACAAATGTACATGCTACAACAGCATGATGATCAAACCTGCTTGATTGCACAGTGCCCGTGCAAACCCAAATCCCCAAACCCCAAGCCCCTAAACAATCTTCGCACCCTCGGGGGGTTGATTTCGAAGTCATCATAGACATAGACTTGCAACCTGAACTTCTGTAACTTCTACGTGGAAGAGAACGGACCTGTCACAGAATCTCATTGCACCTGGCTGCCATACCCTACGGCACCTGCTTCAAGCGCATCTGGAACCGGATCTCCCACAAACGCTTCCTCTCTGCTTGGAGGTTCATGGGCAGCTATACATGGGGATAAAAGTCCCCTAAAGTAGGTCGTTAGTTGTTACTATAGTTACCCTCGTTAAATCCCCACCTATAACTAGCCGAAGCGCGAATGCCCGACACCTTACAGAACCCTTACAGCCCCGCTTACAATATCCCATGAACCCAGAGACTCCAATATCCCTTAATTAAGAAATATTCCTTAAACCATATTAGGGATCCTATTATGATTTAATAAAGTATATTCCTTAATTAAGGGATAATGGAGTCTCTGCGGAACCTCCGCGGTTTGTGGGATCGCTTTAGAACTCAGACGAGGCATCGAGTTCGAGGGTTGCCGGGTTATACGGGCCTTACCTGGGCCCCAAAACTATGTAGAATAATAGCCTCTTATAGGTTTTGGGCCATTTTACCTATTTTTCGGGGTCTAGGTAATAACTAGAATAGGGTTCCTTTATAGGGCTCCTTACAAGGGTTACTATAAGGGATACAAAGGGATGTAGTATAGGGGCCTTGGAGTAACTATGCTGTATATAATCATTATAGGGGTTGGGGCGATTAGGGGTTGCTGGACAATCGGGGGGACCTATATGCGGATTTTTCGTTTGTGCAGCTGTCATGTTTCAGATTTCACGAGCTCACAAACTTCTGCATCGCCTTTCGACGGTTCCTTCAGCAATCATGCCGCTAATTGCACTTGTAAGGGTTTCTCAAACCGTAAACCGTCATGTGTTATCCAAGACCCTCGATGTGGCTACAGGTAGACTCACGAACATCCCAACAACCGGAAACCAGCAACATGAGAAATGTAAACCCGAGTCCCAACCTTGTCACAGATTCGTCGAGTTTCTATGGGAAGTAGGTGTCACAGGTATTAAACCTCCTAGACTTTGCACTGAACTTAGTCTTAGTTGTGGCATAAGCCTCTAAGGTATAGGCATCCGAAACCAAGAAGTCGAAACGGCTCCTGCGCGCTAATACAGAAGCTGGGACACTACCAAAATGTTTCCACAGGGTTCCATGGATAAAATAAACACGTACACCAACCCGGTTTGTTTGCTATACAAGGATACGTCACTCCGACAGGTGGCCCTACAGTGGGCCCTTCAACAATTGCGGGTAGCATTTTTCCTACTGTTTGGTTTTAATAAGAGAACCCACAATCAAAACGGGCAGAAGGGTGCTACTGTTGATGAGAAAAATCCTGCATTACCTTAATGACCCTAGACTATGGGAATTGTGGTATATTCCTTTTCATGGATAATGCAGGATTTGTATCATCAGCCGTACTCAGGAACCTAGTCGAGTCCAAAGGTGGGATTCGGCGAAGGCCATAAGGAAAGAAGTGGCTTGAGGGGCTTCGGGGTACCCAGAGACTCCAGTACCGCTTAAATAACGAACATACCTGAAATTATAGTAGGATCCCTTATATGATTTGAAGTATATTCCTGAGTTAAGGGATATTATAAGTCTCTGGGTAAGTTAGACCTGGGGCGTTTCTGGTGGCTTGCAGATGTCTAGGGCTTCGGCCGGGGTTCAAGGGTTCAGGGCTCACGGGTTTAGGAACTTCGTCCTGGGGCTCTATGCTCGAGGGTCCAGATTAGAGAGATGCGATGCCCTGCAGCGACATCTGGGGGGATCATGGAACTTAGCAAGCAAGGTGATAAGTACCTTGTTACTGTTAAAGCT